TCCTGCTGACTTTTCGCTGTTATTAGCTCAAATGGTAGCAGAATATTTACAACATTAAGCGATGGTTGTCCCCAGAAGATGAGTCTGGTTAGCAAAATGCTCAGAAATCACTTGCGATGGTTAGGAGTGCCATGACTTAGCCATACTAGCAACATCATGATTAGCTACATATAATTTGGAGAGGAACAGAACTGTCAACTGTAGTTGGAAAATAGTAAGATTAATGTGGCTTCAACAATTTAGTAAAACTATCACCGAGGAGACAGTCACTAACGTTTGCAGCCCTGCACATTTAGAGAAAGGAGGAGCAGACTGTTGCACTACAATAGATTTGGACCCAGCAGACTGCTGAAACTGCAGACTGCCAACCCTTCAGCAGTCAGTCACAACCCACTTCCAAGTGACTGTCAAGTTCCTGGGCTCTTTTTGACTAAATCCTACAATTTCCTCTCTTTTAGGACACTGCTGATTTGATAAAACACAGCCTCTGGCAAAGCACTCAAATTTCCTCCATAAAATAAAAAAAATAAAATAAAATAAAATCCCAAACTCCCTAAGTAAACCCTCCTCTACTGGCCCATGACAGGATTTTTTTTAAAAGGGCATTATTATTACTATAAATGCATTCTTTTCAAGACACACGTATACACTCAGATGTACACGCAGCGCAACATGAAAACACTGGGCAACTGATAGGAGAAGGACAGGAATTTGGCATGTGATTTTTTTTTTTTAAATAATATCAAGTTATCTCAACTACTGTTACGTAACTGCTTATGCAGCATGCTCTTTTTCCTTAAGAACAGATATATTTATTTCCATGAAGTGGCTATACTGCCTCACACTTTGCCTTGTCTTCCCTCCCTTCCCCTACTGTAGGGCATGTGGGTGCATGTAGAAAGGCACTAACGCGGTTTTTGTGGTTTAAGCCGAGCCGTTTCAGGCAGAGTAAGCCCCTGACCCTTAGAGCTGGGAGAAGCTGGCCATCCCAATACCAAACTCTGAAGTTCACGAGTGTAAGCCCTGACAGCCAGCATTAACAGGGTGAACAGGAGAGTTTAACAGCTATTCCCCTCATATAAAACAAAACAGAAAGACTGGGAGGTGGGGTGGGTGAAGAAAAGCAAGCAGCAAATCTCCAAGCGGGGAATAAAACTGACCAAATAGCTGAAAACAGGAAAGTTGATTTCTAATGTACGTATTACTGGAGTTTTTCCATAGTCTCTCCTTTTTCTGTACTGAAAAAGGCAGGATAATAAAACTACTTCATTATTGGGTATTCTGTCAGCACTGGTTTGCTTTAGCACTACTTAAAAGTGGTTTAAAGAAGCACCATGATGTATTTTCTGCTAGTCGTCCTAACTGAGGACTCTTTCAGTTAAACTATACTGCATTTTCATTAGGTTTATAGTTTCACTTTGCTTTTAAAAAGGTGCTTGGAAGAATATTTTTGTTTCATTTCAATTGAGAGGGAACAAAGTGAGATTTCCATTCACACACTTCTCTTCTCCATGCAACTGCACACGTCTGCATGAGTAACAAAGCACTATAAATGATAACCCTTCTTCTCCCACAACTTGTTTAAGATTACAATGAATTTCTGTTGCTGATAGAGAAGTTTTCTTAATGTATTTTAATTTATACAGCCTTTAAAATTCTTGATCCCCCGCTTGACAGTAACATTTGGAGATTTTTTTTCTTTTTTTCTTTTTCTTTTTATTTATTTTTTTTTTAGCATTTTTATTTTAAAGTAAAAACTTTCAAACATTTTGAAGATTCAGGAACTTGTAAAAGTTTATCAACAAGAAACAGCCATCTATCTAGGATAAGATAAGGTTAAATAAACCATCTTCAAAAAACTGGCTTCCTACCCTAGAATTCCTGAGAATGCTTGCAAATTTAAAGCAGGAAAATAAAATGTTAAAATAAAAACAAAAACACTGTTAAATGCTCCCAGAGTTAGTCTTCATCTAAAATATATATATGCACTTTTTGGTCTTTTTTTTTTTTTGTACGTTTTAATTTTTTTCCCTTTAAGCTTACAATGGAAGAACAATTTAGCTTTTCTTTTTAAATATTTCAAATCCCTCATTATGTCTTGTAAACAAGAGGGGCTCTAGCACCCGGCTTTCACCGTAGTATCGCAATGAACTCAACTAGCCCAAAGTGCAGGAAAAGGGACCTTAGGGCAGGTTGGGAGAGAGAAGTGAGGGTGGAACACAGCAATGAACCAGCATGTATATAGCAAATCATGTGACAGAACGGAGACTGGCTTACTCAGGCCAAAGGTGCTTCGCTAGGAAGTACTGCTGGCACAGGACTTTTAAGAACCTGCTCTGCGTGTCCGAGTGCGGCTGGTCTTCAAGCAGGGACTAGCAGAAACAAAGCTTTATGGATGTGTGCACGCGAGGGGCACTAGCTAGCAGGAGCTGGAAGAGAGCATTTTGTTTCTTTGTGCGTGGTGGGATGAATGAAGGAGGAGACACGATAGAAAAGTATATTCTGAAGGGGCCAGAGTATGCTGCACACTCCAGTTTACTAAACAAATACAAACCTACTCGTACTTTTTGTCACGTAACACTTTGCATACAAATCTACAGGCATGTGTATATGCAGCATTTCCCTCAGTCTTCCTTGTGACATTGGGTTTACATAGAAAGGGCGAATTAAAAAAAGCCACGCAACTCCCTAGCCCTTCCCTCCCACCCCCAGCACGCAGGCATACACACAAACACGTGCGCGCGTGCGCACACACACACACACACACATACCCCTACATTACTTGAATCTGCTTTCGCTTCTCCCCACCCAACCCATGCTTAGAGTTAAATGTATGAGAGAGACATTGTCGTATCCTTCAATGAAAACGCTGAAGAAAGAGACTCCCCTATCCTACCCCCCAGGTAATAAAGCCTGAGCGCTGCTCCCGCTGAGGGCTGGAATGGACAGGTATGTGCTGGTAAAGAATGTCGGCACTTTGTTAGACAGTGTAACAGCTGGACACCACCACATGGAAGTCCTAGCACTTACAAAACAAGTACCGGCATCTCTCTTCCCTCTCCCTCCCTCCCCCCCACCCCGACTTCCCGCTTTGTGTCAAGGGATGTTCCTTCAAGTCTGCTACACCTCTTTTCACAACAACAGGTCTTAAAAGTTTTGTTCCCAGCGCACACGTGCACGCACACACTGGCTATCACTGTGGATTATAGGTCACCCCTATCCTGCCCAGAGTACTACTACACTGATGCTAAAAAAACCCCAAACCTTTCCTTAAATACAGAAATTAAAAAGCAACAGTACAGAAAAAGTAAAAACAAAAAACAAAAAGGTGCAATACTTTTTTAAAAAAAAAGTCTTTGCTAGTTATATACCTCCCTAAGCAAAACCACGTACACAGGAAAAAACACAACACAGAGAAACAAAAGGAAACATTTGAAGTACACACTGGTTTAAGAACATTCGTAAGTAAACGTTTCTGTCAGTGATGGTCTGGCGCTGTAATACACCAAGGCCTGGCACAGGTAACGCTCACCATGAAGGACGCAGAAAGGAGTTAGCTGCATGTGCTTTCAGGAGATGAGGCAGGCCGGCCAGCAATTTGCTGACACCATTTAGTTTTTGTCAGTTTTAATACAAGCAGTAAATCAATTAAAAGGCTAATTTGGTTGGGCTGGACATCCGAGATTTTGACGGATTCTTCAAGGATGAGTATGGGTGCCTATTTATAGGTTTGGGGGAGAAAAGAAACACACTTTTTTTTTTTTTTTAAAAGGTACTGAAGCTTGTGAGAGACTGAATAAGAACATTTGTCTTAGCCGCACAAAAAATGGCAATGTCTTCTTTCCTCCTCTTTTCCCCTCAATGGAAGAAAAAAAATGGCTTGCATTCTATAACAAACATTCTAGGGTTCACTCAGTACAAAAACCCCACATGCAGACATAAATAAATAAATACACTGCTACTCAAAAGACAACATTAGCTCCCCTCTCACCAAATCCTTTGGATATGGCAGTGTTCTGCTCTACCACAGGGTTAGAACGAGGGCTAGGAAGCAACTACCCACTCAATATGATCTGCAGACTTCAGATAGCACCCTGCTAAAATGAATTTAAAAAAACCTACTGACAAATTTTAATCCAGCCCAACTGGATTCTGCTTCAGCCACAGGGACTCCACCATGCCTGTCTTGTTTTCAGAATCAAGACATGCAGATGGCCAGCCACCCCGTAGACCATCAGCAATGCAGCGTTTCAAGATTATATATATAGAGAAAAAAATGCACACACACGAACATGTGCACACGCACTCACACAGAAACAAGCACACGTGGGCAGTTACATGTGCCAGAACACACTGGTACTTATCGACCAGCCAATCACAAAGTGTTGGTTTTTTTGTTTTGTTTGTTGGTTTTTTTTTGTTTTGTGGGTTTTTTTGTGGTTTTTTTCTTTAATTTTTTAAAGGACGGAAACACACACAGTGCAAACAAAGTTAAAAAGCTATTTTTTCAGTATATATGTTTCTTAGCAACAACTTCCGTATAACATGAAAAAGTGAAAAACTAGAAACTAATTTTTTTAATTTTTTGTGTTTAAATTTAAATGGTATGTGTACTTGCTTCACATTGTCTTTCTAAGTTGGCGTTCATGATTCAAGTATTTCAAGAGTGATATGTTCTCTTTTTGGATTCATATTCCAAACGAAAAAACTGAAGTTATATAAGGGAGGCAACTATGTGCTCAGACAGTCTGTCAATGACCCACCTTTTTTTCTCTCTCCGTTTTCTTTTTTCCTTTTATAAATGTATTTATTGCAAGTTGAAAAAAACGAAAAGGTCAAGTTAGTGCTGCTGCTGTTCCAAAAAAGGTCACGAGGTCAGAGTTGAAAGTTCTAAGTTCAGATTGAATCCGACCCTCCTCCCAGAAGGTCTCCAGGTAGTAAGGGAGCAGGGCTGCCCATTCTGTGTGGATCCTCTACGCTTGGGACCCCCCACAAGCTTGAAGAATAGTTTGGGGGCCCCCACAACGAAGCGCCAGTGAGATCACCCCCACTGCTGCCGCCGCCGCCACCACTGCTCCACTGCCCAAGCCCTGTTGACCCACCAAAGAGATTCAAAGCAGGTCCAACTGGATCTGTCTGGTTCTGTCCTGTCTCCAGGGACTGCCAGCCTGCTGTGGGTGCACTTGGGGTTGCTGCAGGTGTAGGGGGCTGAGCTTGTGCCAGAAAGCGACTAACCTCTTCATCTGTGGCAAACTCAGCCAGGATGGTAGTGTTTCCCAACACGCACCTAGAAGACAAGATACATGAAAAAAAAAAAAAAAATTAGAGCCAGAAAGTAATGGCAAGGCATTCAGAAGGCATGGAAACAACATTATTAAGTGCCCAAACCAAAGCAGGTATCAGCTTGCCACAACGGAGTGAGCACAGAAAACTTTAGCTGTTCTTGACAGTGAAACTGACTCAAAGGACAGGAACTTCCATTTTGTAAGGGGGGAAAAAAAAAACAAGAAACCAAACCAACCAGCCCCCTTCCCCCAACATTCAGTTATGCCTGCCTGCAACAAAACCCTTCTAAATTTAAACTGAGGTCCTGAACATTAACACCAAGAGCGACAGAAGTGCCTATACAGTGTAGCTACAATGGTAAATGCACATATGCCACCTTTCAAACAAAACAGAGGAAGAATAGGTTAAAAGCCTGTGAAATTCAGGATAAGATTAGTATAGTTCAAAAGTTTTCACTGAGTTTAATGGCTTACACCACCCCCCGCCCCCCCCAAGATTTTTGTCTCAAAACCTCTCACATTTTCAAAACATACCAGAGCCACAGTCAGTTCCAAAAAGCTTAAGAACAGGAAACCTAAGATCCACAGCTTTTCAAGCAAGCTATTTCAGGTGTATCTCAAAACTATAGCAGATTCCCACACATTTGGGTTACGCATTTAAGAATGATTTTCATCTGAAAAAATTCACGAGCTTTTATAAAATGGCCAAAATTGTACAGTAAGGTGCATACTGGTCACAGTTCCATCCTATTTGCACCTTTTTAGTTCTGTATGTGCCAGTTTGTGCGAGCAATTACAGTAACACAAACAGAAGGCATCTTTGTTTCTCTTCTTCTTCTGTCCATGAAGGAAAGATTCTCTTCCAACCATGATACTTGAAACGACTTTCCAAAGCATAGCACTGGACAGACCTTTTGTGTTCATGATTAACGTAGTAACTGAGAACGGACACGGGGATTGCTTACATGTGCAGTGCAGTCTGGGCCTTGGCCGCCTCCTGTTTGGTGTTATATCGGATAAGGGCGGTGCCCTGGGTCAGGTTCAGATGGAATGTCAGCAGTGGGCCATGCTGCATGCAGATCGTCCTCAAGGTTGACCCATCAATCTGAGGAAGAACAGCCAGGACAAAACAGATGTTGGTAACTGTTTCTCCAAATGAACTTCAAGCCTAACTTGTCTCAGTAATTAAAAGATAATCTGCTCTCAGAAAGGAAAATGGGTGAAAGCAGTGGGAAGTAGGCAAAGGTGACAGGATTTAATTTTCAAATGGAATCAGTATGCCTTGACTTCTCACAATTACAATGGCTTTGCTTTATGGAATAATCTGACTTCTCTTTCCTGCTCACTTGTAGCTTGAGTCCTGTTTTCCCCGTCTCACCGAGTTTCTTAAATTGTCACTATCCTCATGTTGGCATGTTTTCCAGTAATTATATACAACTTGTACTTTCTCACCATCTTCAGCCACTAGGATTTGTACCAAAGGAACCAGAATTTGTTAGTCTCCAGCACTCTGATTTCAGTAGAATTTAGATCAATCAGTATTTAAAAGTTCTTTGCAAAACTGGAAATGCCACCTCTACAATGAGGGTTTTTTTAAAATTTATTTTGGTGCGTTTTTGTCTTTGTGCTTTATGAAACAGTAAGTCACAAAAACAGTCAGTGATCTTTCTGCCAAACCCAGCAATGTTCATTCCTCCTGAACTAATGTTTTCGCAGCAGTTGTTGCCCGCATTCCTTCTGCAGCAGCAACAGCTTGTTACTTACCTCCAGTAACTGCTGTTCTCCAAGGTGTTCTGTACAGACAGATTCCATTCCTGGTATGCCACAGAACATGCACACACGAATGGGATCCATATGTGCAGATACTTAAGGAAGTGCTACTTTCTTCCTTCTCCCTTCCCCCCCATTATATAATACAACCTCAAATGAGGGAAAAGGAAGTTGTGCATGGGTACAAATATGGACAAAGTTAAAATAGAGAAACTTGAAATGAAGATACTGTCCCTGAATCCACCTTAACCTTTACGCTTCCTTCTCTCTATTGTCCTGACCCACAACGAATAAGAGGAGTTATGGAAGAGACAATGATAACCTGCTTCTTTCTCTTTTCTATTAACTTAAATGCCTCCAAAATATATTCTTCTTCCATTAAATGACTCCTAAAGCAGTATTAAACTACCTTGCACAAGGGAGCCTTAGAACTGTGCCTCTTCATCACGCCACTGCTGTTTCCTTCACATCAAGGAAAATAGTATTTTCTATTAAAGCAGCACGGTTTGCCATTTTGGGTGATCTGAAGGAGCCCTTAGTCCTTCCTTTCACGTTGATGTTTTCTTAGACTGTAGTAGAAGCATGGTAAATTATCCTGCTTTTTTGTCTAGACCTCAGGGCGCTGCTGATAATCATATAGGCTTTTCCTAAGCCTTGAATACAGATTAATTGGGATTGCTGAAACCAGGATCTCCACATAATTCGCTCTGAATGGAAGGCAAACTCTGAGAATGCTTGCAGGAATAACCTAACTAGACTGTTCTTGGCAGGAGTGCTGGAAACATTCTGTGGTTTCACTATGGAAACACCAAAGTGAAAACTGGCAGCTACACCAGCTTTCTTATTGACAACATCCCAAAGAACAGTCTCTTTAACAGCTGTATAAACCATTCCACGTTATGGTCATGCAACTTATCTTCACTTCTAAGAAAAATCTTTCTGTTCCAGTAATTTTTTTTGAAACTCTAGGTAATGGAAGGTTATGACAGTTATGTAGCAAAAACTGAACACCTAAAAGTTAGCTGAAGAGATTACAATAGAAAAACCAATCAGACTGCAGCCAAGTTTAGTAGAAACACATCTTACTGACAAACCTGATGTTGTTAAATTTTATTCAAAGAGAAACAACTGAAGAATACGCAAATCTGTATCTCGGTAAAGCAAACAAGTTCTCAGAGACAACAACAAAAAATACCTGCGGAGTGAGATTGTGAAGAACCAGCCAGTAGCTAGGACGAACTGAGCCACCATCACTCCAAGTAGATGCTGCAAATTAGAAGACAGAGCAATCAAGACAGATTTGATACAAAGAAAACCATTTTTCTTTGCAGTCAGATGTTTCAATCTCAGACAAATTTAGCGTTATCAGCCCTGCTAACAAATGTAGTCTAACCTTCAGCCTTGAAAACAAAACCACATCTTTCCTCACATTTCATATCAAGATTCACTTTTTACTAGACTTTATCTTCAAGGAGTTTCCCACCCACAGAAAGCATCTAGTCTTGAAAGGCCCCATGCAGTAGGTATTCCCTCCTGGCAGCTCCCAGCCCTATTCACTTATCCCCTGCAGCAGGACTTGGGATTCCACACACCACACCCACCAACCTCTCACCCCAATTACTGACAGCAAATTTCCATTTCAAGAAGGAACTTTTTTTTCCTTTTACCAGACAACTGCAACTTTCTTTCCTCCAAACCATTAGTGCTGTAAAACGTACACTCCTCAGGTCTGATCAATGGTGCTATCAGTTGATTCTTCTCACCAGAGGCAAGCCTTGAGTCCTGTGCCCCCCAGCCCCTGACCGATCGGGATGCTGTGCTGTTCCATGGAGATGATGGTTTGGGGTTGGTCAGGCCAGGAGGTGGGCGGGGCAGCCCTGTAGTGTTCCTTGAGGAAATATGGTTTTTCCACATCTTGTTGGAGAGATGAGTGGGATTGTGTCCTATGGGATCTGGGGACCATGTTGATTTGTAATCACTGAATTTTGCTAGAAGATTAAATAAATTGTACATATTAGAAAAACTTGAGATTCAACTAGCCTTTAACTGTACTATCACTGTAAAGCCTTTGACTGCATTTATATCAGAGACAAGCACAAAACACAGAACCATACAACAGTTAATTTACCACACCAAAAAAAGCCATGCTACATGTAGGTTAATCTTAGCTGACAAAAAAAAAATCCCTAGATCATTTATGATAATGTAACCTGTCACATTATTTTAATTATTAATACGATGAAATTTACCACACCAAAAAAAGCCATGCTACATGTAGGTTAATCTTAGCTGACAAAAAAAAAATCCCTAGATCATTTATGATAATGTAACCTGTCACAGTATGTTCAATTATTAATACGATGAACAGCAACTTTTATGTCCGCACTGTATTTCATTTGAGAATTTCTTACAACTTTGGGCACTGCTGACCTTTAATGAATCTGAGCCTTCTTCACTCCATAAACTTGCAGAGAAGTGACATAAGTATTTACCACTCTTGGTCTACGAACCTAATGATACCTCCTAAAGATGTCCTCCTATAAGATCAAAGCTTTCTCATGAATCACAGATTTCATAGAGAGTTGACACAATGGTAACACGTAAAGAAGGCCACTCAGCTGTGTGACAGCTGCACTTTTAAACAATCTTCATAGCGCATATTCCTTTTTTTACTAGAAAGCATTACCAAATGCCTGTTAGGAGAAGTTAAGACCAATAGTGGATATCCCTAACACATTTCAAGACTTCTTTATATAAAGTCCAATAAAAGAGAAAAATTAACACACTCCCCAAAACATCGCTATTGGTCATGAATATTTAGGAGCTCTTCCTAAACCAGTTTTCCTTAAGAAGGTAGACCGTAAATTCTCCTACACCTTCTGACACCAAGGGACATTTATCAAACCAAAAGTCAAAATTGCTCGAATAATTTCTTTTTTCCTTGTTCTGTAATGAGAACCAGTGAACACAGACAGACCAATCCAGGGGAAGAGGCACTTGTGTCATGAATTATCATAATTGGAACTCGTGTGTGTGTGTGCGCGCGCGCGCAAATGTAGGTATTAAGCTATTCACTAACAAAAGGTAGTAAATTACTTACTTGAAACAAAGGGTAAAAATCCAGGTTTACAATATGTCAGGGTGTCACAAATAATACACGTGGGAATCAAGACCATAAAGCTTTCAGCAAATAAAAGTGTGCTTCATTTTACAGTGGGATCAGTATATTTCCACGACAGAGTAACTGTCAATAGCAAGCAGGTTTCAAGCACTAACCTATGAAAGTATATGAAAATGCTTAAAAACCTGCTTTCACTAGACTTGGTTTGTTTTACAGATATGTGAATTCTAAATCCCTAATTCAGATGACCTGCCTTCTCGCTGTAAAATGCTGGTGTGTGTAGCTTAACAAGATGAGCAGAAGATGGTATGTGTGCCAGGCAATGGTCTAGTTTCCTCCATTCAGCTATGACTTCAATCAGTTTTTATCTCTTGGGTCTTTCTTATGTGCTAGACAAAAATTAAGCAGAGGTAAGAAGCTGATACATGTCATTCCTTTCCCCAGGCTATGAAAGAGAAATGTATTATGTCATTGGAATGCTGCATACACAGATATTGCTTCAAACCAAAGTCACCCCACAAACTGGCAGCAGGAACACTGGTTTTTTTGAGGGCTAAATAGGATTTTCAACACATTTTGTGAAGACGCTGAGATAACATATGTACACAGCTTTTATTCAGTAAGATACAAAACCCATGAAGTTTGGGCCAGATGCAGCTCTCAGCTACGTTCATCACTTCTGCTATTTACACACAATTCTTCAGTTTTAAGTAGTTGTCAAGACAATGATGTCTCAAGAGAAAACTCTGGCATTTGTAAGAAGTTCAAAATCCAAATGGTTTGTCTGAAGCAAGTATTTCCAGCATCCTTCTCAGAAGTGCGTACAGAGACCATTTGTCACAAAAAAAACTTTGGAGACCTTCTTACCAAGGATCTCAGGCAGATATCTAAATTACTATTTACAGGACAACCATTAAAAGCCAGAGAACTAAAAGCCCTCTCTCTCTTCAGGTTTCAGGGAATGATGAGTGCTAAAAAAGGTGAGGCAAAAATATTCCCTTCACAGCACTCCAATATTCTAAAGTTAAAATTAATAAAATCACTCACCTTATTACTCAAATTCCTTAACTCATACATACATGAGCAGGTAAGCTGAAAAAAATTACGACAGTCCCCCAACCCCTTACACGTGTCAACAGACTCTGCATGTGCTGGTGTTTTTTTTTTCCTCCTTTTGCATCTGCTGCACTGCTACCTTGTTCTTTAACTTGCATAACTAAGAATTTTGTTTTGGGGGTAGGAGGAATGGCAGAGGATTTTAGCCTAGTTTTTAAAGCAACTACAACAGAGTATTCTATCGTCAGGAGGAAAACTATCTGATTAGTCACTCAAACCTCCAAGCTTCCTCAGAAATTACTGAAAGACAAGTGGAACAAGAATGAGGAACTAGCAAGTAAGTGGAAAATGCTTTGTCCAGGTAAGTTTTGGAGCCTCCATACCTGAAGTGCTATGAACGTTGGTGAAGGAATTGTCAGAGGCACTGTAGGGCCAGGCACCAGGTGAAGGCAGCGAGGTGTTGAGGGAAGAATTAGACCCTATCAAAGGGAAAAGGAGAGAGAAAGAGAAGAGTAGGCCAATTTCATAGAGTTTCTGTAATATAGTTAAACCTCAAGAGAGCCACAATTTGTACCAATGCTGAGCTTTTATGCACATATGCTTCCTTTTTAGTCAAATGCAATAGATCATTACCCTGTTATGACAGGAACATCAGAATATTCTCAAATATCAGAACAATTTAAATAATCACATACCAGTTGTTCACTGTTTTACCTGTGGTGTTGTCCCGCAGAAGTTGGTGATCTGTATCTACAATGGGAGATGTGGCTGTCCCCCCCAGCACACTTCCAGGGGTCACATAGGGGTCAGATTCAGGGTCAATGTTTTGTATACCTTTCCATGGCACTCCTGGTTGGAACTCTGGGACAGGAAGGAAAAAGGAATTAGATGTAAACAGGGCAATGTCATTTACTGGAAGTAACTGTTGAAGATATTTAGGAGGGTAAATAATTGTCTTCTACACTGTTCCTCAGAAAAATCAGACTTTTCTTAGTTAAAAATCTGTTTCATGTTCCTTTTTTCATATATTCCATGGCACCATCTCTATTGTCTGAATACAAGTCTACACTACAAAAAAGTGGTGCAAGTGCATACGGTATTCCTTTGACTATTCCTGTTTTACTACATTCATATGAGGCTTCAATAGTTTCAGCCTTCCTTAACACACTATATATTTTTTTAAGATATGTAAGATTAGATTCTGCACACATACTTTGTGTGTGTGCAGAAGCTTTTCTCAAGGAAAGGCTACTTACCTTAAGAGTTTGTAAACACAACATTTGACACTTTACACTGTAGGTACACACACACTTTACACATTACCTATCAATACTGAGGTAATGCTAAAGTGAGATGCCTGTGGTGAAAGCAATGTATATACTCATTGACGTTCTTCATGGTTCACAATGAGAGGGAATATACTTATCATGCTTTAGTTTCCTTTCAACTATAGTTCCAGGCATGCCAGATTTTTTAAGACAAGAGGATGAGTTATATAAAGTATGAACATACAAAAACTCCGGTTACTGTAAGAAAGATCAGTAACTTGGTTCCTTCTCTGAGTAGATGTTCAAAGAATAAAGTGCTGTGGTCAGTTCTGGAAGCAGTGATAAGAAAGTAACACTGCCAAACACAAAAACACGTAAAGAAGCTTCAGATACTATGTGACAACTTGGGTAAGTGTGAAAAGAGTGCCAAGGTGGCAGATTCATCCCTTGTAGATACAAGTCCAGGATATGGAATGATACCTTTATTCCCCACATGAAGTTTTGAAGTAATTAGTGACAGAATATTTGAGTGTAATTAAAAATCCATGATTAAAAGTGGGATCCAGGATGTGCTCTCCGAAATGAAACCATGTAGGGTGAATCTGGCATGGAAGGGTTCAGAATTTCAGTCACCTTTGTAATGAAGAAGCAGTCAAGACCCTGACTTTCATAGACAAATACAGAAGAAAAATGTGGTAGTGCTGGTTCAAACAGTTGGCACAGCAAGGGTAGTATTACATTATGATAATGCACTGGCAGGAGAATCTCAGAGAAGAAACAAGAAATGCCCCACTGGGTCAGCGCTGTGGTCCATCTAGCCCAGTATTCTGCTAACAGTTGTAGAAGAGATACCATTTAGGGACAGAACACAAACCTGGTCACTACCTGTACGCTACTGCCCTCACACTCTCCCAGCATCCATAGTCCTTCTATCTAGGATGTCAGAAATACCCTCTATCTGCTAGCACCTGCTTGTGAAACTTTTTCCATCAGTTTATCTAATCACTGTTTCAATTGGCTAGTACCATCTGTCTCCAGAAGCTCTAAAAGCAACACATTCCTGAAGTTCACCACTCCTGATAGGAAAAAAAAAAAAAAAAAAGCTCTTATTGATTTAAAATTTATATCCAGCATTTGCACCATGGTTCTAGTGTTGCAGGATTCACAGAATTACAATTCTGCATTTCTCATCCACTGTCTTCATGATTTTGTAAACCTCAGTCACATCTCCCAGTCTTTAGTAGCTCAACAAAATAATCTAGGGTACCAGGTATCAACATTTCTAACAGTATGACCAATCAGCACCGCATCAAGGAAGGAATCTGCTCAGCTACTGCCAAAATAGTGCAATCCCCTGACAAACAGGGCCACCTTACACTTAAGGAACAAGCAAGGCAGCTCTTGGGCCTAGTCACAAGACCTTCTCTGTTCCGAGATAAAGAATCCATGAACCTAGGTTCGGACCTGGAAATCAGAAGTTGTTTTGGGAAAAAAAAAAAAAAAAAAGAAAAAAAAAAGGAGGATAAGTCCAAGTCTTGCCTTTGTAAAGATTTCTGAGAATTGGTGAGACTGAAAATTAAGTGCATAGTAAGCTCTCATCAAAAGGTAAAGAATATTCAAACAAGACTCCAAAGATCAGGCGTATTGCATATAAACACATTCACTCATCAATATAATCCTGGTCTGGAGAAGAGTTTTCCTTGAACTTCAGCATATTGACAAATTTCAAAACTATCCTTTGGGACTGACAGTTATTTTCATGCACATTCACCAACTCTCCCTGAAGATACGCTCTTTTATTTCTAGATTAAGCAAAGAAAACATGAAGTGCATTTCTCCACTGATATTTGAAAGGTCCTCCCAAAAAGTTCAAACATAAGATTATTAGGAAAACCATGACAGACACATTCAGGCCAGTTTGCCTGGAGTATATGACTGAACTGCTCCTGAATGGGAAAAATCACAGTCTACTATTACCTAGGTATGCAAGTCCGTGTGACATAACCAAAAGATATAGTTCTCACCAATGCAGCAAAACTTGCTCTCACCTCCAGCTGTGATATCAGTTTGATTGGGCATCACTTCATTTATCTTTGTGCTGAACAATACTGCTCTCTTGAACGGCAGAATTTCTGCAGCAGATGGCATTTAGGAGGAAAACGTGAAAGGTGCAGTCAGGGTGAATGCTGAGCGACCAGTGTATTCATTCAAAGGAAAAACGCACCCATTTCAAGAGGTTCTCTCTTGGAAACTCATTTTCATTAACAACTTAAATTTCCAACACTAGGAAGAAAAATTATATCTCCACGCCAGGAACTGACAGTGGGCCTCACCTACAAGTTTGCAGAGAAAAAGGACCTACAGTGTAAAATCATTTGGGATCTTTACTCTTCGTCAGGGTCGTTGATCAGGTGGATCATGATTTCAGCTAAGTTTTCCTTCTCAAGGAAGCCAAGACACTAAAGAGGCTACGAGGCAGCTTAAGTGGCTGATGGTTATGGGACAGTACCACTTGTCCCAGTAGGCTATGGACCTCATAGGAGAGGGCTAGCAATATAGCAATAATTGAATAAAAGCCACATGCCAAAAACCCATGATCTGTTACATGACACCTGCAATCACAGTCACGGGCTATTCATTTACACAAGAAACCAGGGATGGTACTGATGACCCCAGGGAGAGTTTATATTCAGGTTTTGTGAACTCCAGCCATCCTCTCACAGTGGTGAGAGAGTCAGCAACAGCAAAAATTTTACTTATTGCTGACAGTGGGACTGAAGATATCGCTAAGGAAGCTCTATGATATCAACGAGAGACAAAGAGTAGCTATTCAGCTTCTCACTTCTGTAATGGCCTTCTGGTACCAAGAATCTTGCCAGAGCCAGTGGCTGCTCCAAAACCTGGAAATAGGGCTGATCCTCACATCCCTCTCCTAACATTCCAAGCAGTACTGTGTTTCTCGGTATTATATAGGGGAATAGTGACTAAAGAAACAAGTTCAGCAACAAGTCTACGAGAGACATCCTGAAAAAGATCAAATTTTGGAGGCTTCTGGCATTATGAACAGTAACTCCAGCTCAAGAAGCTCAGTACGTAACAATCAGGCTGACAGAAATGTAATGCAAATACACCTCTCCAGAGAGCAGTCAGCGGTATGAAATGTTGTGGGTGTGCAAAGGTTCTTGAGATAACTAATTCTTTAACTCTGTTAGCTCATGAGAAAACAATTTCTTGCCCAAGTTGGACACTGAGGGGCTCCCACATAAAAAGCTTTAACTACTTTTTGTAGGTTTCCTGCAGTTGTATCTGTCACACAGATTCCTAGGCTTTCTGATGCAAGGTCTATGCTACTGGTTTACACAAGAGATGTACCTGCACCTTCATTTTTTTTGTGCTTGAGGAGATAAACAGCAGAGGATTTGCAGTTAGGAATGTTTTCCTGGAACGTTAAGAAAGTCTTCCAGGCAGAGAAAAATCACAGCATCCACCATTTGCTGAACAGCACTGGTGATTAATCTGTGCAACTTCAAGGACACCACTCTGTGTTTAATGAATCATTTGTATAGAAAATTACATGCATGTTCAAATACATATGTGTTTTTCCTAGATTTTTGAGTTTTCTAGCGGAAAGATAAAATTCTGCCGGTGAAACTCTGGAAGACTAAAAGAATGTCCTAAGGCCTATAATCCAAAAAGCAAGAAACTTCTACTCAAGCCACAAGATTGCTGAGCAGTACTGGAACATGGCAACACTCTTCTATCCTTTACGCGACGAGCAAAGGTGAACCACAACAGCATAGCACACACATTGTATGCATATTGTACCAATACTGCTGGCAAAAGAAACCTTGTGGTCCGCAGTGCATCATATTTGTGAACAACTGCCAGAAGAAAAGTTCATGCTACATAAAATACAAAAGGTCAAGACAAGAAAATCCTGTTCCCGCCATCACAGAAAAAAAAAAAAACTTTCATGTCTTTTGCTTTCTGATTCCACGCTATCAATCAGAATTTTTACACTGTGTGTCAGCCTAACACAACACAAATAAGGAATCAATACAAGAGGAGGGAGCTGGTATTGTGTATTCTATGAACAAGTGTTCTCATGAAAATTTCCATAAGTGTAAGGTCACCAAACTACAGAAGATAAGAGTTCACTTACCAAAAACCAAATACTATTCAGGCAATTCAGCAGTTAGTTCATATTTGGCCCAGCAATTTTTTACTGGAAATTCAACATTTATGTTCTAATTTAATGTGGAAGAAATTTAAAAAATGAGATAGGCCAAGCAAATGTTTTCCTTGTGGTGGTTATTTAAAAAGCATGATGAGGAAAGGTCCCAGCACACGTACTCTAAAGCTAGGACATAACCCCTGCCCTTATGTAATACCTGGAGGCCAGCTGGCGTTGCTGGATTTGCTTCCAATCTTGTTCGTTGGTGGAGATTTGGCAGGTAACCAACTATCACCAGCAGGGCCTGCATGGCCACCTAGTGGGTCGCCCTGAATTATGTCAAACTGGTTGTAGGGCGATCCTCCGCGAGCCTTTCCAGGGGGCACTATTGCACCTGAAGCATTAAAAAGATACATTTACACTCAAGAAAGGTTGGGATCTTTAGGAGTATGGAATACTAAAATCAAAAATATTTAAAGACGCATACTGGTGAGGTAAGGTATTAACTAACTTGAAGCACAGTTTCATCTGAGCTATTTCCCCTCTGGCAAGATGATACTGCAAGGACATTCCTGAAACAGCCAGTTTCCTTCTTACCATTTTTGTGCATATTGGCATCTTGTGAAGCCACAGAGGGCAGCCCTTCCATCATAGTCCACTGCTTAAAGCGTGATTCTGTTCCAGCCTCTTTCCTTTTTCCCACCATGCCATAATCCATGCCACTTGAGCCAAAGCCTGTGAAACAAACAAACAGAACTCCATTGTCATTTGCTCTTTTTGGTTTAAATATCTTCAAACAGGGAGTCATTGTGATCATGAGGTTAAAAAAAAAAAAATCAACAGTAGCAAATGAAATGTTCAAGAGGCAACTTCCAAATAAGCTTGTTAGGTCAGTATGCCACACCAAGATACACTTTGTTATTAGGTTTGTCTTCTTCCCATGTCATGAAAAATAATGCAATTTGATCAAGAGTTGACACTTGTTGTAACCTTCGCTCTAGTGCTTATAGATAAGTTACTCATTTCTGGACCCAGACATAACTGGCTAATATGGTAACGCAATTACCATATTAATATGGTAACTATAGGCAATGCACCAAATCTCTCTTCATAGAGCACTTACCTGAACCGTATCCAGGTATTTGCCCTTTGGTCTGTAAATCTGAGAGACCCACATTCAAAGGATTGGGTACCATGCTGTCTAAATGTGGCTTAGGCCCAACAGGGTGGGATGGTGAATGCTTCATGCCAGGCTGCCTCTGCTGCTGCTGCTGGAGGGCACTCACCATACGAGCAATCTGCAAAATGTAAGAAAAAAATGGGGATGATATATCCTATACTGTAACACAGAATTCCAGCAAACATGAAGAAACAGTGACTTGAAAGAGATCCGAAGGACCTTGCTCTCTGCAAAGTGCAATGTGAAGAGAGTGCAAACTGAAAAGAGCAGATGACATTATTAAAGCCAGCGCCATCTTTGCTGCAGACTGCATTTTCCCAGTGCACTTTATACTTCGTATGATTGACAAAACCAGTGCCACACCTGTTGCTCCTGCTGTTGCCGCACAGCTTGAGATAACTTCCTCTGGCTCTGTAACAACTGCTGCTGCTGCTGCTGCTGAAGGAGGAGCTGACATGCCTACAAGATAAGTGGGGGTGGGAAGAGTGAAAATACAGAGCTCGTCAAGTGAAATATAATTGCCGGGAGCTAGTTACTAGCAAATGCTCTGCTCGGAACTTAGGTAAACTGTTTCTCATTCCACACACACAAATAAAATGACAATGAATGCATTCGAAGAATACTACACCCTTCACTTGTTCCTAATTCAACATCATGCAACAGTATTACTAGTACCTGCTTTATTACCATCACTATGATTGCAAGTCTGAAGAAAACATCATTAAAAATCAATGAACAACTGCTTTCTGAACAAAAACATTGCTTAGAATCATTACTAACCCACTGCAATATTCACAATAATTACACAGGCCTGTTCAGTTTATCTGCTGCCCTCTAACAGGGCTGTATTTTCCTGTACAACGAACAGGGAATATTTGTACAAAAACAACACAAGATAGTAGGACAAAACAGAATTAGAACAAACATAAAAAGAAAACTCTTTCGGCAGACTTTGTGAACAGTCTGTCTCACAAGATTACTAGCTACTTACTAATTGAAACTGGGGAATCTGTGGAAGCTGGCTCAGCATGGCAATCTGTTGTGGAGAAAGCTGGGGGCCCATATTGAAAAGACCAGGATTCAAGCCACTGTTGGGAAACTGTTTGAGCATGGAGGCTGAAACCTGCATGGAAACCAGTTACATATCCTCAAGAAATGCACAGCTATGAGAAAAGATGATGAAGCAGAAGTATTTCTATAAAGGAATAGGTACAACACCCATCTTAAACGGTGTTCTGGGAAAGACATTACAGATTTATTAACACATCACATTTAAACATGCACAATCTACGACTTGAGCAGAGTGAATACCTCACTTGATTGACAATATACAGTATTACATGTGCAGATGCAGACACACAGACAAAGGTTCCTCCCCCAACCATTCGGTTGCTAGAGACTGCACTAAATTAAAATGCTGATATATATGCAGCTAACCAGTAATCACAGTACTGAATTATCACATTAAAAATGTACTGCTTGACAAGGGAAAAGAAAGGCATTCAGGCAGTCACTGGAGCAAAGAAACAGTGGCTCACAGAAAGAGTTAATCTCTTTGTATGCTGAATAAGCTATAGTAAAAGACAGGAGTAGGTGGAGAAGAATCCCCCCATTTCTCCCTGCATTATTTGAGAGTTACACAAGTAGAATTCAAGAGAATCTCCAAAAGTCTTCACCAAGTCCAAAGCAAAAGGTAAACTTGTGCATTTGGATAAGGTCTTAGAGCTCTACAATGTATAGCCCTTCATCAGGCCTCTTTGGGGGGGGGGGGGGGGGGGGGTGCAGGTCAAACAGAAAATGAGCTCGTAAAAAAGTTGTGGGGGGGGGGGGGGGGGGGGGCAGGAAGCACAGGACGAGACTGTTTCAAAAAAATTAAGCAACCTATCACACTTCAGAAAAACTTTCAGCTTTCACTTTTTTTTGTTGTTTTTAAAATACTTTGCAAAAGCCTATGTAAGACACAGGATTCCTGAATCCACTTTGAGGTTTAAAAATACTGTTAGCGAGCATTTACCATCAACTGTCTTGGAATAAGAAAGAAGGCTAATCCTTCTGCATTGAGTTCTAAGCACTGTCAACTATGAATTTTAATTTTGTATCTTATCTAATTTTTCTATTTCTTAACATCAAGTCAAGACTAAGGTAGATGTATAAGTAACCTCAATGATGTGCTCTGAAGGCTGTAGCTCTACTTTTTACAAGTAACCAGTTACTATAAATTCCTTACCTGGGGAGAAAGAAATTGGGGAGGCACTTGCGCCCGGATATTGGGGGAAGGATTTAGTGGCTGCACTGGTGTGTGCATGCCCCTCGATTGTGCTGTGCTGTTTCCAAACAAACCATGATTGCCACCCTATAAAATTAAAGCAGTAGTCAGAAGATGAATCTTTCAGGATAATGGATTTCTATCCTATTAGCTACATAGCAATAACAATGAGGCACGTACTGACTTAAACAGAGTACCCTTATAATTACAGAGATGTTTGCCCTAAATCAGTAATATTCTACCTGGGTTAGAACTGCTGTACTACATTGTCGAGATGCAAGCTCTTTCTCCTCTACATTGAAGAGTCATGTTTATCCACTTATTTCAAAGCACATAAAAAAGCTAATGTTTCATATTTTTTGCACTTTACATGTTGGGAAATGGAAACTTGGAGTACAAACAACATGCTCAAAAACAACCATTCCATTGGCTTAAAAGTAAGGGAAGTCTGTGTCAACAAGAATTTTGGGCCATGACTTCAGAAAAAGTTGGGTACATTTTCTGAGTAGGTTGTTGAGATATCACTTATAAGCCTGTTACTTCCTCCGCAGGCCTTTCACTAACTGAAACGAGAATTCAAAAATTGTATTAAAAATTTTCCTTCTGATGTGGAAATTTCAGCATTCTGGATTGGGATGTTTGTCTTTTCCTTTTTTTCCCCAATAAATTGAATAGCAGGAAAATTTTCAAGTGAGAAGAAACGTTTGGGTTTTTTTTTTTCTCCCAGCGATTTATTTTCTAAGGCAAAAATACTTGCTGTTTCTTTTGATTTTTTTTTTTTCAATGAGAAGTATTTACTGTTTTATAAGCAACTCCTGTAATAATAAACCCTACTGCACAAAAAAGACTAAAGAAAATTCGTGATTGTATTTCACTATTTCAGCCTCTGAGCAGACTGTCTTTATTTTTAACACCTTTCAACAAAAGCCACAGGAAACCTTATGGACAGTCTCCTACACTAACAGTCACATGATGTTGCTTCTAAAAGCCAAAGCTCGTACTCCAAAAGGCCTTTATGTGCCCTGATTCTGTGCTTTCATTTTCAAGACCCTCAGAACTTCCCATCTTCCGCTGTATATCAGGATGTCTGTAATCCTCAGATACCTGCGGTTCTAAATAGTACATTTTCCATCCCTCAGCCATCATTCTCTGCTCTCCCTCTCCGTGCCAGCACTGCTGTACCCAACATAAATTCATCATTCTTCCAAACTGAGATTGTGCAGGCTTTCTCCAAAACTTTTCCTTCCCTTACATACCAAGATTTCATAAACTTTGCCTCCCTTCTACCATAATACTGTGCATCCTCCACTATCATTTTGCTAAAACAGAAGTCTCTCATTCTGCTTCTATACTGGCAGCATTATGGATTGCCTCATTCACCTACATCACATTTCACCTCCTTAATGTATCTTCTCTTTCAGAAGCTACTCAAGATGTCATATTAAGCACGTAAAAGGATAAACAAAAAAACCCCAAGAGACAAAAGAGTTTTTATTCTGGAAAGAACTGACTGGGGTCAACTACACGTTAACATTTTTGAGAGGCTTGAAGCTGCAGCTACATTTTCAGCTCTCCCTAAAGCTCAACAGAGTGCTGCACACCGAATCCAAGAACATGCCTGCTAATATTGGACTTAATCTGATGTTCAACACTGATTGTGTCACATAGAAACAGAAAGACAACACAAAGAAACACCATCATGTTAGGCATGTGACTATATCAGCTAGTTCGGCTGCAATACTCGGGTTCTGTTCTTTCATTTCCTAGCATCATTCCTGCAACATTTTCTTCTAGCATAATGCAAAACATCATAGCCAGAAATTCTTCCAAACTGCAGTTACCCACTTAATTTCTTTCCCGTCATTCCCCCGTATATAGAACAAAAATATTGCTACTTCAAGAGTTTTTAAAGGCTGCTAAATCAATCCTTTCTTTGGGCTGTGGGGAAGGGAGAAAGGAACAGGCACAATGCAGAATGATTGCAATTTTTTACAGGCACATTTCTATATACAAGGTCATTGGGTGGAGTATGGAAAAATTCAGTGTCAGGGAGTGGAGGGGCAAATCAACAGCCTAAGTGGGTTTTAAAACAGCAGTTAAAATACAAAGGTTGCCACTAACTTCATGACTTCTGAAAAGCACATCTATCTGCTGCTGCACAGTGACTCAGGAAGTAAGAGGCCAACAAAACCAGATGGAATACATTTTGATGATAGGAACCAAAGCAGATTGATTCTCAATGACCTGATATAACTGAAATTTCCATTAACAATATTAATTTATTTAGTAGGAAAACAAATGCAAGCAACCAACTAACCAGGATTAAGCTCAGGTTGCAGCCTTATAACAATGCATCTTATAAGGTGGCCTGCTTACTTGTCTAGCAGCGAAGTTTTGGGGACTGAGCCCTGAGCCGATTGCCCCAAGGCCGACGTTGGATAGTGTGGAACCAGAGGGAGACAGCTTGTAGCTGGGAGAAGGGGAGAAGGGAGAGCAGGGAGCCTCATCCCCAAGGCACCCATCTTGATTGGAGAAAGGCAAAGTCAGCTGAAGCAGCCGTTAGCCAACAGCAGGAGTTGGTTAGTGAAGCAACAGAACGCAAGAGGAGAGAAAGAGGGACGGTGAGTGACTAGGAAGAAGCAAAGTTAATTTGAAATAGCAATTACAAGGACAAAACTTCTGACTCAAATGATCACTTGACAATTAAGATTTTGGTCCAAGGAGATAATCAATACATTCATAAAGGTTTCTTTTTTAAAATACATTTTGAACTCTTGTGAAGTTTGTTTCTGACAGTGACTATTACCACTACAGAAACAAACAAATCTTGAATGAATTCCTAATGTTAGCACACACCTACAAACAGTTTGATAGGAATGCATCAGATCTGCTAGTGTTATTTATTAATCAGGCCACCAGAGGGAGTTGACAAAACTGGGTTTTTTTTGGCCTGTTATACTAAAATGGAGGAATTAAAAAAATTCATTGACAGTAACACGCCTTCAGAATTTTTAAACCAAATTTCTTTTCCATTTTACATGTGATAAACTTAAACTGTATTAAAAAAACCCTAAAGCATTCTGAATCTATTGGACACTCTCCAATTCATAATGTGAAGCAATTAATGTTTGATAATAACAGTGAAAGCTTCTAGTTAAAATAGGCAAGAATATGAAAGAAACACTATCATAACATACAACAGATGTCACAGAGAAACAGATGTCATACAGAAGCTTACAGTACACGGACATACAGCATAAGGGGTTGCGGAATTTAGAAAGGGTGTTTCCAATAAATGACAGACATGAAAGCAGAAAAAAATTGGAAGACTGTGATTACTTATGTTTACTTAGATCTAAACCAATTTTTTTACAGTAGATGATTGCAGTCAGTAGCAAAAAGAATCATTGTGATGAAACCTGTAATGAATTTCATTGCTACCAGTAGTTTACCCTTCCAAGAAAAACAAAGGAATTTCTTTCTGTCCATATTAAGAGCAGTCTGTTCTAGAATAAAAAGCCTCATTCTCCCCAGATAATTTAGTTTGTCTATGCACATCTGACACCTGTTTTACATACACATTCATTCTACAAACATAACTCCCCCCCACCTTTTATTATTGAGTCTGTCCAAGGTTACCAGATCTTTAGCACTTCCAGAGGAGTAGGGTAAAAACTGGGACCTCGAACACAGAGGTTGGTATTAATTTATCTAAAGATACTTCTCTCACCTTCTCAAAATAAGGCCCACTATCTGTGGTTCCCATGTCTTTGGAATTAGGTGGACGGAACCCAGATCGATCCTTTCTCATCATGTCATTAAAATCCCCGAGATTCATGGCTCGTTTATCTACCTCAAACTTCTTATCTGGGAGACCACCTGTAAAAACAAAACAAAACAAAAAAAAAGAGGAAAGGCAACAAAATTAGCGCCAATAATCTCTACCGCGTTTCATGACAGCATGTTCACAGCCAAAGAAAGTATCTTTAAGATCACGGTAAAAAATTAGATCTGTCTTACAATTTAGCATAGCTACAGTTGCTATTAAAAGTGCTGAGAAATTAAAGTAGGAAGTTTCATTTTTAAGACTGAACAAGCCAATTTAGAGAGTCTAATATGAAGTATTTCTCACAATTTATGCACAGATATATTCATTTCTACAGCAGCCTAGTTCAACTAATGATATTCCTTTATACATAATTCTCAATGTCTTCCAGAACTTGCACTGTTATTTATTGATATTCAGTATCTATAGAGACACCACTATTTAAGTACTCCATATATTCTACTTAGCCTTTACTGGGTTTGGCATTGAGAAAGAATTTCTGAAACTGCAAAACCACACACATAATTTGATCACAACTCTCCTACAGCCACGTAAACTTAACTCTTGAAGACCACTGATCATCTGGTACAGCATAACTTCCAGACAGGCAACCAATCTCCCTAAGCCTGTATGCAATGATTACACAACCAGTAACAGAGACACTTTTCAAACGTCCCCTGCAGTCTCCTGCCATTGTTTAGTGAGTAATCTGGTGGAACACAAGGAAGAGACATTAATAACAGATGATCAAACTGTAACATACGCAGTGAACAAGACATCTTTCTATAAGCTTTTCATCAGCCAAGTGCTGACTGAAGGAAGTTTTCTACCTTATACAGTGACTGCTGCCAAGAAACAACTTTTTTTTTTGTCACTTTTGGCACCTGTAAGGTATCAGATGCATATTGCTATGTTGAAGTAGATGGAAAACATCTTCGTTTTAAAATACGGACAACATGACAGAAATGAGCTTTACTGGTATTTTTAGTTTTAAATAATTTTGTTTAGTAGCACAGATGGCCTTTACAAGAACAGTTTAAAAACCTGTCACCACAGTTAACCAAAATCTATGACTCTTCCAAAGGAAGTTGGTGATAGATATCCTACCCTATGACTGACAAAAAACTAAGTCTTCATCAAACAGAGCAGACAGCTAATCACTCCAATACCTTCAAAACACTTATCTGTTCCTCAAAAACTTCTCAAAGCCAGCATCTCTTCTTAATGTCCGATCACAAACTATTAATATACATAGGTATGTTATTGCCAAGAACCTATGAAATCAACCACTAATTATATGGGGTTTTCTTGCTGGCACAGCTTTCAAAGTTGATCCAGCTTCATCCTCTCGGATGCCTTCAACATCATGTATCACAAAAACACCTGCCAAATCACCTACATATTTTGGCTTGTAACTGGAGTCATACTGACCTGGATGAGCTCATCCCTTTCTAACATATCCTAAAAAGCTAGAACTGGTTCTGCAAAAGCAGTCACAAAATGTCATGTACATCTCAATCCTGTCAATACCTACATCTAACTACTACACACAATGCCAGCAACGCACTACCAAAAGACTCGTGTGCTTTAAATCTAGACAGGAAGCCCTGTCCCTTAGTTGCTTGAAAAGAAACTGAAAGCAAGAGAGAGTTGCATCACTATCTGAAATGAAACTGGGTCAATGCCAATAGAAGATGACTAAGCTGCAGAAACACCCTTTTGTCTCTTCAGTTATCCTGATGATCCAATCAACTCCTCAAACATTACTGAGTGATGCCTCCTAAACCGGCATTAAATAGCACCTTTAAAGGCTTCAAGCATAGATATGCATGCCACAGTGCTGAGGCAGCTGCTTAAACTTCAATATAAACAAGGCCTTGATAAGAGAGATGATAGTATTCATTTATCCCCATTCATAGAAAATTCTAATGGAACGTTGAAACCTGTCTGTCTTTTGCACTTGCCAACAAAAGCTATAAATAATGCAGGTGGCTGAAGACTATCTTTACCTTACACAGTACAAGATGACCGTTAAAATCTGAAAAGTTTGAATTTTACCCTCTGCAGTAGGCAAGAACACTTGCGCATGAATAAATATGAAGCCCCAAATCCTCTACATTCAGAAATGTAGAACAGGTTAAAAGTCCAACCATCTTCATAAAAGAAGACATTCCATCAGTTCGTGGATTTTTTCCCACTATTAACAGCTGTGAAAAATGCAAAATGAAACAAGAGCTTGGAAGATGACATTCACGCCCTAGCGAGGAAAAAAAACCCTATTAAGCAGATCTCCCCCACCACATGCACATAGCTTAAAAGAAAAAAAAAATCAAAAATTGAATTCTATACAAACAGAATTATATAATGTGATCCTGTACTCGGAGATAGGAGACAGAAACTGCTGTTGAGCGAAGTTACCTAAAACATTTGCAAACGAGAGACTCAATGTGGTGAAAATACATACATCCAGTGGGGTAACCCAAATGGAAAAAAACCAAAACAAAACACATTTGAAACATGTTTTCTGCTTGACCACAAAAGTGAAAACATTTTAACGATACTGGTTTTATACCTTTGCCATAAAATTACATCATCCAAGCCTACTGAGCAATCACATGCACTTAGATATCAAGGTGTTGCACCTGAATGCTAAATCAGGTTATGGCTTTGTAACATATTCACAATAGAGAGCTGCATGAATTGCATTTGAATCAATAGAAATTAGAAATTAATTTTCCAGTCTTTACAGGTGATTTGAGAATTCAGTGATCTGCAGAGGTTGCAACTAATACATTAAGAAAATAAACAAGACAAAGGTGGTTGTCAGAGGGAAGCAAAAGATAAAATATTAAGTGGTTTTGCCAAGCTACTTACTGTAGCAAACGTCATTCCTCAGGACTTACATACTAGGAGAGATTTCAATGGAAAAGAAGTTGTATCCTATTTTCAAAATAAAACAAGCTATCCATTGAAGGGATTTGATAGAAAAATTAAAAAAAGAGGAAGTAGATCTGCCTCAGGCATGCTACTGATCCATCTCTTTTCTGTCTTGGCCAGTAAATAGAAGTCTCACTCCAACACCTTAGAATAAAAGCAACACATTTTTCAAACAAGGAGACTGAGACCAACGTAGTAAGAATTACTTACTGACAACTGGACCTATTTTACAATGCATGATGATCTGAGCCAAGGTGCTCTGTGCATACCAAAGCCAAAGTTTTCTTTGATATGTGTGGTCTCCAAGCACAGATTAAACTCTGACATCAACGTGCATTTATCCATAAAGTGGGAAAATATCATGCTGGGAGTTATCTAGTTAGGAAAACCTGGTATGTTGTAATCCTGACTGAAAACCAGTTGAAGAACAAGCCTGCCTCGTGAGTAAGTCCAGCTTTTAAAGTTTAGAAGTAGATATAGGCTGAGCAAAACAGCTTATTGTTTTCCACAAGCAACTGCCATAAACAACAAGAGCAAAACCACTAAGCAGAAAAGTTAACAGAAAAGTCTCAGGAAGATCTGTTACATTCTTAGTCTTTGAAATTGAATACAAACTACAATAAATGCCTCTACCTAGGATCAACGATCATAGAATCACAGAATGCTTTGGGATCAAGGGACCTTTAAAGGTCATCTAGTCCAATCCCCCTGCAATGGGCAGGGACATCTTCACCTAGATCAGGTTGCTCAGAGCCCCATCCAGCCTGTCCTTGAATGTTTCCAAGGATGGGGCATCTACCACCTCTCTGGGCAACCCGTTCCAGTGTTTCACCACCCTCATCGTGAAAAATTTTTTCCTTGTATTCAGTCTAAATCTATCTTCCTTTAGTTTAAAACCATTACCCCTTGTCCTGTCACAGCAGGCCTTGCTAAAAAGACTATCCCCATCTTTCTTTTAGGCCCCCTTTAAGTACTGAAATGCGACCATTAATGGGCATACTACACTTAAAGAAGTGCAACATATCAAGACTAAGTATGCAACCTTTCTGCACCATTTCACAGGATACTCTGAGCGTCAGCCATCTTTCCTCAGAAGGTCTGATGGCCGTAAGGTCCTTGACAGCAGAAAGTTCTTAAAGATCCAAAAGGTTAATTTGGAGACAAAGAACTAAGCTGTAATCGGCATAATCCAGGCTACCATCCTCTTCATTTGTATAATCTTAGATCTGTTCTTTAACAGCAGCATCTGAAGGCAGATGAGAACTGAACATCCAAGAAGATGACAACTTATCTCCATCTAGAAGATCTTTACAGAAGCATGATACCATCAGAGCCTGAATTCTAGAGAGGCTGTATGAGACCAAAGTGGAGAGATCCAAAAATTCTGTTACCTTCCCCAAAACTGTGTTGTACTATAAAAATGCACGTTTTAACATCTCTTATTGGGATCCTTAACTGTTCAGAGGAAGAAAGCTATTTTAGGAAAAATTAACTAGTTAATCCTCTATGAAGTGTGATATACATTTTAAGAATATAATGGATTCTAAGCCGAGAGACACTGCAGCTATTTGGATTACATTAGAATACCAAATCTAGAGTTGATATTAGATGGAAGAAAGTCTTGACTACCACAACTCTATCTTTGGTACCAACAAGATTAATGGATATTCCCAATAAGAGAAGTTTTTTGGTTGGGAAAATCCTGACTGTAGTATCACGTGTGGCAGATGAGGAAGTACTAAAGCTGGAAGTACTAAGGCTGGTGACAGCAATGGTGCAAAGAGGGTCAACATCAGAGCAGACTTTTTGCAAGGCATAATATTGGAATAATTTAGTCAACAATACTAGAAAGGCACAGAAGAGGTATGGCAGAATCAGAATGGCAAAGAAACTGCAATTATAGCACAATGGCCAGTTTCAGAAGAACTGCCTCCTGTAGTCCCTAAAATCTACTGTTCAAATCAAGAAAAATTACATCTTATTTAGGATAGTGTTTTCCACACAGCCCATCTCCCTTAAGCTGCGCAGGATTTGTGGTGAGGCTATCAAGAATGAAAAATCTAGTACTACTGAACAGTACCTTGTAATAACCTGAGGCAAGCAACTGAAGAAATCAGTGATAGAAGGTAGTCTTTTCCCTCACTTCACCTCCATGGAGCTGTGGTAACTGGGATGTCCTACTGCCAAGAGCTGAAACAGTCCTCCTGAAAAGGGACGCTTCACTTTCTTGAAACAGTAACAATGAGTACAAACTACACTGATCAAAACAGTTTTTATAGGATGTGCCTTCCACAAGTTACAGCTCCGTTCTGTACAGATATACATCCCAGTCTTGCATACCAGCATCAACTGTGTAACTATTCAAAGCCTACAGCTAAGATACTGGATGCTATAGCTCTACCTTTCTATTATGAGGAGTGCTAAAAGTAAGGATCAAACGTTTCCAAAACACAGCATGTCATCCACATAAAAATACTACACATGATCTCATAGTTCAAGTGCATTTAAATTAAATTATACGCACCTACAGACAAGTCCATCTTACTGCCTGGAATGTCCTCAGTTTGACTCTGGGGGGGGAAAAAAAAAAAATCAGTTCTGCCTTCTATGAAATGCTGAGGAATGTTTCAGAAAGCAGCCCTTGATGGTTAAGGGTGGAATGAAGAAAGGACATGCTTGTGCTAACAGAAGTTTTATTTTGAACTAAAATCAGATACAAGGATTCCTGATATCACCCTGGGCGCACCTCACTTTGACCCCCTAGTGCTGCCTGTGGCAAGTTTACCGATATGAAACCAGACACATGAATGCATGCGACAGACAGAGAAAGATGGATAGACAGCTGCTCTGTGAAATGAACCTCTGTCCTCATGTTCCAGTGGTCGAGAGATGCAACACTGAAAATAGCAGCCAAAATGATAGCTCATCCTCATGACCTGTCAAGCCATCAAATCTTGAAATGTGCTGCCAAGTTATTAGTTGGCAGTCTGGGACAGGGTGTTCCCATAGCTTTCAGAAGCATCTATGGTCTAGCAGACTGAATTTGGGCTTGGGAGCCAACAGACATTACAAACTGATCCTAGTCATGTCAGTGACAGTTTGTGCAGCCCTGCGCTTCTCACAGAACCTCTGTGCTATTATCTTTTGCTAGCGTGCATTACATCCTACTCCAGCTTCACAGGATGACAGTTGGCACAATATTCTGTAAAATGTTTTACAAATTAGCACGTCAGAAGTTCTTAAAAAAAATTTATATGTAACTGTTTTTAAGGTACCTCCCGGCAGATCTGTCTTTTCTCTCCATGATGTGCTGTTTATTTATTCACTTTACCAATCAATCTTTAAGTACTGATTAATAATGAGCCCTTTTTGTTCTAAAAGGCTCTGCTGCACAGTATTTAAAACATAAATAGCCAAGACAGACACAGGGCTGTAAATCTTTTCTGATTGGTGGCTGGGATTCAGAATGAATAGCCTTGGACTAATCACAGATGTCTGACACTACAGCCAGGAGCTGAGGCCCCTACCTCAAGTGGTCTAAACAGCGTGTTACGAGAAAAAAAAAAAAAAAAAAATCACAAACAAAAAACTCAAATCCTATTACTTGCAAGGAAACTGCAATCTCAGAACAACAGCTGTCATAAAGTAACTTTGAAGAGTCAGAGTAGGTCTTGGGTTTTTCTGAGAAGCCATTCTGATGAGCAAGGAAGTGCTGAATACCCAGCTATTACAGGTATTATAATCAACATGGCAGCATAGCAAATGCAGATAAATAAGTAGTTACACACTGTGAAACAGCTGATCTTTTGACTTATTTAAAGACTACTGCTTTTTTACAAAGTTGGATTTTATATTTAAAAACTTTACTTACTAGCAAGCCCATATTTGAAAACTGTTTGGATAAAGGGTTCATCCATGAATCACTATTTCCTCCTTTTAATGAGCACTGAAGAGGAAGAAAAAAGACAAAAGTATTTTTAAGCAACTTCTTGATTTCTTAAATTCTGTTTTATCCTTGAGAGGCACAAGTGTCGAATAAAAATCCTGGTATCAGAGAAATTAATCTCCTGAACAAATTACTTCAAGTTTTTGCATCGTTGGAAACATTTACCACTTTTTTCTCTTCTCTCTCATAAAATTGTTCATTGTTACGTATACCAACCTGGATGAACACTTGCTGTGTAGAATGTTTATCACACCTTCGGTTTCATTCTGGAATCTGGAAAGCTTCGTGAATGTTAATTTTTTTTTCTCTCTGTTACAGTTTAATACATTTTTTTAAATCCACCAAATACAGAGGTAGATTTCTGCCTTGGCTTTCTTCCCTTTAGTACCGTTTCTCTTACACGGGCACTGTGCTGACCTGGCTCTCAGTTTGGCCTTACTGTAATTTACAGGTGATCAAAACCAAAACTGAACACAGTTCAACAGAAAAGATATTGGTAAGAAAAATTTTTGGACAGTTGCTTTGGTGGTTAGACTAAAACTTTAAGTGAGAAAAAAGTTCTTGAGAATCTATTTTGCAAAATAGGAATTGTAAAACTCCATACCACGTCACAATAGTATTTCCACATCCCAGGAAGCTGCTCTGCACTTGCCTTTTAAGTTTGCCCTACCTATTTGATTAGAAGTAGACAAAGCATAGTCCTTCTAATCGTAATACAGTACCAGCTGTTACTGTACTAGAGAACTGTAACACAAACAAGCCTTAGAAAGCAATTCACTCAGGACTGTAGCCAAGCTCCTGCTCCTGTTTGAGGCCAAAGGTCAATAACAACCAACTCAAGTCAGACCTAAATCCAACAGTCAGTAGAAATAAGAAGTGCATGTGTCAAAGGGACTGTGGAATCCGAACTTCAGCAGGCTATGCAAGAACAGCAGCACCCTAACACAGAAAGACGTGTCAACAAGAGCAGAGCAATAGCCTTGGGATACTTATTGCTCAGTTTCATTCAGTAATGGCTCTGCAGCCTACATACCAAAAGAATTTGACACCTACTGGCAGATTTGTTAGTCATAACAGGTGTAATACATTAAAACAAATCCAGAAACCTCACATTTTTTACACTGTTGTAACACGCACCTTTCTAGACGAATTGTATAATACCCTATTAAAAGAAGAACTATTATAATGCTCTATCAGTTATACTGCTTTCAGACAACACAGTAGTTATGAATCATTCAAGCATTTTACCTTCATTTGTGTTTTCTTTCCTCCTTGCCCCCAGCTTGTTGAGTTGTGGGAGGAACTGCTTCCCTGAGAGCCTGCTGTGTTCCAGACTCCTCCCTCCTCCTCCTCTTCCCAGCTGGAATGACGCGTTCCTGTCACTGGCCCATCACTCTCTCCCCAGCCATCTTGCATAGATTTAGAACCTTTAGAAAAAGAAAAAAAGCTCAAAAGCAGTCTACAATGCCATGCAGCTGGTGACTCGAGACTGCAAGATTAGCTGAAATCATCAGAACCCCAAAGGAGTTAAAAAAAAAGTGTCTACACTAACAGCTATAAAAACTTGTGCATAAATCCCCAAACCCATGAGATTTGGTGGTGTGTTAGCATGTTGTGTTTTGCAGCTATTTTAAAGCAATGTCAAACCCTTAAAGATATAATAACTATAGGGACATCTTCTCTTACACAGACACAACTGTGTTTGGATTTCTTTAAAAGGCAACCTATTATTTTCTAGTGTAAATGAAAGACTTCAAGTATACTTAAAAACCAAGCATGCTGAGGACTCTGGTTCAGGTGGTTTATCAATTATTTCCTCTCTTCCTTCAAAACCGTAACATTTCCCCTGCACTGAACTGTTTCACAAAATTACAGAAACAAAGAACTTTAAGGAGTAAAAACTAAGCAGAATCTGAAGGACAGGACCTGACATTGTGTTCTGGTATATGTAACACCAAAAGTAGTTTAATGTAAAAAAAACCCCTCTACTTGAATTTCTGTTCTTAACAACGTCACTAAAGAGAGTTATTAGCAGTGCTGCTTAAGTAGAGATGCCGTTACCAGAAAGCTACAACCATTTCATCGTATCAATTCAGACTAAGGAATTTCCCTGTTGGCTTCTTTTCTTGCTGTTACTCTCTAGCTGTCAGGCAACTTAGAATTCTAACCTCTGCTGACAAGCCAACAAGAGCCCAAATCCTCATCTTGTCCACTGTGCAACTGTTCTCCTTCCTGCTGTAGCTCTTCATTCTGCGTACTTATTCCCTAAGCATTTACTCCTTTAAAAAAAGATTTCCATCATCATCTTTTTCATAACTAATTTTTCAGTTGTCTGGGGTTTGAGTATGGAAATCAGGGATAAGGATATTAACACACATAGCAGAAAATCTGAATATAAAAAAAAAGTCAGGAATTGTAATTAGTCTACAAAGGGGAACTCTACCTTGATCAAGCCGAAAATAAGCACAGCAGCATTTCATGGCAGTTTAAGAGCTACCTTAAAATCAATCGTAAGTAACAACTCAGATACTTCACAGGAAACAATGTTTTAAAGTATATTCATTTTTGTATCAAAATTGAGGGCTGCTTAGGAAACATACTGGTCCAAGCACAAAAATCTACTTCTTGACCCTTTAATCACACTACTTACACAGAAAAGGCTACATTTAAGGATTACGCTTGCAGAGTCAAGAACTTAATCTGGAAACGTCATATATGGGGTAGTCCCTGCAGCTTTAATTTATTTCCGGCCACCGTGTTTAAATATAGTACTATGATCCTGGTTTTAACTACATGACCATAGATTATTTTTCTGCATTGACAACTCTCAGATCTGAGATTCTTGAATGTGAATCTGGACAGTGGTGTAAAGATGACTAGTCTGCAGGACTCCTGCTTCATTTTCTGCATTTGTTGGGTGAGGAGGCACAAAGAGCTACAGTAAGCAAAAGAAACTTTCAAGATAAAGACAAAATAATGATGTTACAGAAAACTGAATTTATTCCTACTTCTGCCAGAGAACTCCTGTGCAATGCTGGTAAAATGTAAATCCATTTTTTTTAAACAGGTGGGCAATGATCTATGCTTTCTTTCATTGGCTCTAAACTCTTGTTTTCTTTTCCAGTCATTGCTACTCTCTGTTTCCTGTCCTTACCTTCAACCATAAATCATGCCTTTGCAGGCTCTTTGTCCCAATTACTTCTTCCGACTTATCCAAGACATTAAATATCTCCCCTTACATCACTGAATAACATCGCTTTCTTCTTCATTCCTTCTGGGTGCCAATTAGAAAGGAGTTGAGAGAGCAGTCACAGAACACAGGGGAATGAAGATCTCTGCTCTTAACACTGGTGACCTACTACACCCCAACCTGAAACAGCTGTCAAGGGGAAACTCCCTACATTTTGCTCCTGTAGACCTGGGGACAGCTTACATACGAAATAGTACACGTATGCTGCAGCGCTTTGGTTATGTCACACATGCAGACCAGTTAGGACAAGCAAGTGACCATGCATAGTCTTTAAAGACTATCTTAAGTATTAACAAATCCATAGAATTTGCAATGGATCATTAGCACTTCAGAGGCTCTGATTTTGGTCATATTGAGGTGGCTTTTTACAGATGAAAGAAGAGATCCATCTAAAAAAGTCTAGCATCCTGAAAAGTGCCAAGTTTGTGCAGCAGGCACAGGAAGCACTAAAGCCATCCAAGAAAGGCTGCTATAATGTTAACATTAAGGAAGCAATGCTTTTTTCCCAGTTTTGTTTCATAAACAAGCTATTTAATTGGGGTGGGAGGAAGGGAGAATGACCCACCAGCAGACCATCTGTACAGAGCATTTCATTCCAAACAATTACATGTTGCAAAAGCAACTCGTAACTGGAAACAGTCTTACAACGGGTATCATCAGCCAAGTTCAGTAACAGTCATGTATTATCAATATTTTCTACTGGTGACTTCATATCCAAACGTTACTGGCTTTGGCTATAACATTGCTATGTTGTATCAGCAGGTGATTACTTTTGTTTGTTGCATTTTCCTTAAAAAGAGTGAAATAAGAATTCTACAGACAGCTTACATCAGCAGTAGGAATAATTTCCACAAAAATAAAACTCTTAATACAGCATAATTTTAACTTCAAAGTAAATTTTAAAAAGATTTCAACGGCATCTCATTCATGGAGAACACAGTTGTAGACAGGTAATACCCAGAAAATAGTCATCCATTTAGATTCAACCACAAAAGAAAGTTCCGTTCTTAAGCATTGCAATTTTCCACACTCATACAATTAAAAAAAAAAATCCATTCAAAGGCAAGTTGCATTACCAAAGCATAGATTACCATGTAATGGCCTCCACTGAGAAATTTGTCTGTACTGTGCATTCCTTTTTCTGATATCATCAGGAAAAGTGATTTATCATGTAATAAGTTTATATGCTAAGTAACACGTGGGCAGCCAGAGAAAAAGACATTTTCAGAAAAAGACACATTTCCTCACTCACATGCTATAATGTTTCAACACTTCCATAAACCAGAGCTGCCCATTTAATTGCTTAGTTAAGAAATTTTCACTACCTTAAAAGACAAAGTTCCAGTCATTTTTAAGCACTTAATCACTTCCATCAAAATGTTACATGACATTCAACATTGCTTCTAGGCCTCAGATAACAATTCCTCCATGGGTGACCCATATCAAAAGGCCAAACACTAAAAATCTCCAGGATCATTGCAAAGAAACTGGTATCTGGCCTATACTCACTAGATTTCATGGCATTCGGGGCGTTGGAAGGTGCATTCCCCCAGCCTGTTGTCGATGCTCCTGTATCATCTACTTCACCCCACCCAGGACTGGTTTCATTTGGCTCACCCCAGGCGGACGTACCATTATCTGGAGCAGGTGGAGTGCTTTTGCTCCAGACTGCACAAAGGAGAAAGAGTTTTCATTACAGACTATTTAGACAATGAACTATTTACTGCAGTGCAGCACCACGTCATTAATCTATTGCTTCATTCTTTCTGTGGAGGACTTTAGATTCTCAATAGTGTGGGTGCAACAGAATTGACATCTCTTCACATCAAACTCAGAGCGGGCACTGACCTCTAGGGATGAAAACGAAGACAATGCTATGATGAGTAATATTCTTCTCCCAGGTTAAACATGAACCCCACATCTAATGCTGTCCTCCTAATCTGGTGAACTTTTGTAACTAATTAAAAGCACCAGACTAACTCAGGGTTCTCTGATACTGAAGAAAGAATAATGACATATTTGAAGTACACATTAAAATGAAACAGTATTCTTTAAAGCATGTCTGAGTCAGAAAAGAGATTACATAACAATAACATCTTAATATATTTCTAGGCTATGTAACTTTTTCTTGTCCTTACTTCAAAGAAGAAAATATTTTGCGAAATATTCTTTATCAAACAGCAGAGCCAAATTGAGAACCACAGACTCGCTCAATTTCAAGTGTTTCAAGTGTTAACCGGGTGTTTCAGAGCAAAAAGGGTTTGGACTAAAAGTAAGTAAAGAATTTCTCCCCGTTTCTCTAATAATTAAATATAAAAAAAATGTTATTTAGTCCAGAGAAAAGGAGGCTCAGGGGAGACCTTATTGCTCTCTACAACTACCTGAAAGGAGGTTGTAGCGAGGTGGGGGTTGGTCTCTTCTGCCAAGTAACAAGCGATGGGACAAGAAGAACAGCCTCAAGTTGCGCCAGGGGAGGTTTAGATTGGATATTAGGAAAAATTTTTTCACCGAAAGGGTTATCAAGCATTGGAACAGGCTGCCCAGGGAAGTGGTTGAGTCAGCATCCCAGGAGGTATTTAAGAGACGTGTGGATGTGGTGCTTAGGGACATGGTTTAGTGCTGGACTTGGCAGTGCTAGGTTAACGGTTGGACTCAATGATCTTAAAGGGTTTTTTCCAACCTAAACAATTCTATGATTCTATAATTCAAACTGTTCCTTCAGAGCTCAGATTGAATATGCAGATTTGTCAGCTAATAAACATTTTCTTTTACTGGCAAGCTGACCAGTATTCAGATCACAGTTACTGAGGCACAACAAGCAGAGGACTGATCGATTCAAATTTTAAAGACACTTTAAATACAGAACCAACTATTCAAATAAGAAATTGGTTTTCTTTATGGAATAAGCTATTAAGAACTGGAGGCTACACGAGTATCTCTTATGCATTAAGGTTACATTCATATACAGGAGCTGGCTGAAAAAAGGTACGAGACTAGTACCTGATGCTTGTGATTTGCTAGTCATTGGAGTAGGCAGGCTCTGCTCCCTTGGGGCCTGTCCTCCTTGTGAGTTCTTGTCCCACAGGTTCACATTCTTGTAGTTATAACTGCTAGGATCTCCCCACGCTGAAGTGCCATCATCAATATCCATTTTTCGACTGATTGACTGTGGAGAAGGTTCTTCCCAGCCACTAGGCTCCTCCTCTTTGGGGGCAGCTGGCTGTGGTCCGCTGTTCCAGTTTGGGTTTGGAGGTCGCCCGTTACTTGGAGTTTGGGGCGGTGGACCCCAGGAACCAGAAGCCTCCTGCTGCTGCTGCTGCTGGTGCTGCTGCTGCTGCTTGTTCCAGGAGTTGGGCTGTCGACCCGTCTCATTCCATGTTGAAGTTCTTTTACAATCATCCCATCCACCCTTTGAAGCAGCGCTTGTATTTGCACCATTACCCCAAGTTCCAATCTCATTTTGCCCACCTTCACCCCAACCAGACACTGGCTTGTTTCCTGCACTTTCCCAGTTGCTGTTTTTTGTTTGGTCAACTTCCTCTCCCCAACCGTTCTTTCCAGAAGACCATCCTTGATTAGGTTGCCGTCCACCCCACCCCTGATCCTTACTAGAGCTGTCATTCCAAGAGGAAGATGATTTTTCTTCTGGTCTTCCTCCTCCCCAATTAGAAGAATTGGGGTTCTTATAGTCATTCCATCCTCCAGTATTTTTGGGGTCCTTCCACTCCGTTGGGGTTGAGAGCTCACCCCATCCAGACTTGATTTGATTGCTTTGGCTGGGTACATCGCCCCAGCCCCCTGAGTTCTTTGTCTGTGTGGCAGAGCTCTCCCACCCCTCAGTTCCTTTATCAGACTTCCCCTCGGGCCGCGGCATCTCTTCAATATCCCACACGGTATCTTGCTTAATTTGAGTTTGGCCCCAGCCGGTGTTTGAAAGCACTCGGGGGTCCAAATCAGTCCTGCTCAGCAAAGTCTGCAAGACTGCCTGGCAATCAGGATGCGTAGGCCTATATGATCGGCGTCCAGAATTGTGACTGTCACTACTTCCTGCTTTGTGGTTGCTTCCAGTGCTTTGACCTCCAACCTCACTTCCCGCAGAGCTGGAGGATCTTCCCCAACAGGGAGCCTGGGAATTGCCTTGGTTTTCAGGAAGAGGGTGGCCTTTTTGATTGTCCCATGCTCCAGTGCTAGAATTTGGTTGGTTTGGACCACTCCATTCTCCAATCTTCAGTTCATCAGACCCAGACAGCTGTTTCCATTCTCCCTGAGAGACCCCAGATGTTAATTTGTTCCCTTCACCCCATTTACTTTCATTTGCATGCTGAGGGCCAAAGTTCCAAGACCCACCACCCGTAGACCGGTTATTGTTATCCCAAGAATCACTTCTTGACCCATTAGGTTTTTGAACAGAAGCTCCTTTCCAGGAGTCCTCTCTATCCTTTCCATTGTTCCCATGGTTTCCAGAATTGCTCTGTCCAGAGACTGTGTCAGTTCCAGAAGACCCCCTAGCTGTACCCCAAGATCCAACACTCCCAGTCTTTCTTTCTCCAGTGCTTTGTGAAGGGGTGTCAGTGCTCCTGGAAGGGTTCCCCAAGCCCATTTCAAAGGGCATTCCCTTATTCTCCATAGGGTTTGGTGAACTTAAGTTCAAGGAGTTAGTGTTTCCATTTTTTGGTCCATCAGTGTTATGAATTTGAGCCTGTTCTCTGCCAGAGACAAAGTTAACACCCGCATTTTCCATCTTTGACTGCTGTTCCCTAGAGGTCTGACCTACTGTGCTAATCTGTGCATTGGAGCTACCACTATCAGATTCCAAAGTCCCTTTCCTAGAATTGCCCTCTTGAACCAGTGCCGGCCAAGCAGACGGGTTGCTATTTGGGTTAAAGTTGCTGAAGCCAGAACCAGGACCAATTCTATCTTGTCCACTCAAGTTCCTCCAATTACCTAGTCCATTGTTACTCTCGGCAGCAGGGTTGGAAGATTGAACAGATTTAGCCTTGGAATCAGATTTCCAGGCCCCAAGATTACATTCGTTTCCAGCGCTTCCAGACTGGCACTGGCTTCCTTTTCCTTTGTTACTAGTGGTGCTTCCTGGCAGAGCGTTCTTCTCCAAGCCAGGGTTCGAGGCACTGTTGTTATCGGTGGTGTTTTCGGAAGAAGACTCAGCATCTTTGCTGGCAATACAAGGCCACTCTTCCATGTCAGACCCGTCTACAATCACCTTGTCCCAGATGTGAGTTGGGTTGGCGTTGGTGCCGCTGTTGGAGGAGGCTCCAGGACCCCAAGTGGAATTTGCATAATTTGAAGCAGCAGCACCTCCAATTGCTGAATCTAAAAAAAAAAAAAAACAAAAAACAAAACAAAAACCCCCACACCCAAAAAAGTCGTTAATAAGCAATGTTATTTACAAGCACTGAACATCACATTTTTGATACCACTGATTACTGTTTTCATTAATAAGAACCCTTCCCTTAAATGTGTAACAAAGTTGCTTCGGACAAACATCAGGCTAGAAAACATCATTGAAGATACTGATAAAAAACTTCCTTCAACAAACTCCCGAAAAGCATTTTGTGGGGATTTGAATTCACCATTGACTCACTACTTCTGCTAAGAGTCCCACTCTTAAGTTCAACATAATAATTATAACCCAGTTAATGAACCTGCATTGTCATTACTGATACTGGCTGTAGACTTCTCAAATACACATTTAAAATCATACTATATATAGAACACGAATGCGTATGCGCACACATTCACATGTATGTGTGTGTACACGCAGTCAGCTGTTGGTCTGCTACTCAACTGACTCAAAGCAACTACAATTTATTACAGATCAAAAGATAAAAGATTGAAGACAAAAAGCATCTAATGAATATATAAAGTTGAGGAAGTTGAGGAAGTCTATACTTCAACTTCAAATACTAGGAATTTCTTTCAACCCTTTGCAAAACTAATAAAATTATTTTAAAAGTTACTGTAAATCAAAAGAGACAAAACTACACAAATTACAATTCCTATGTAGTAACATGCAAGCTGTATTCAGTATGTAATTACCCCACATTTGTGTCACTGCTGTATTTACCCTACAAACCACAGTTTGTGGTTTTGCGAGCAGCTAAGCTGATCTCTGCTACTGTATAGAGGCTAGTAAGATCTCACTTCTTCTCTCACCAGCTCTACTTGCTTCAAGCTCCCCAAGTTTCACCTCTCATTTGTGACAGTTCTGATGGCAGTTAAACCTAAGTCAACTGTATTCAATAATTCAACACAAAACTGTCCACTTTTTAATGGGTTAGTTTTTTGCTGGCTTAGCACATTGTACAGGGTAACCTGCAAGTTTAATGAGCTTTGGAGTGAACGATAACTGAATAGCGCCCCTTTCTTTCATCTGTGGTGAACTATTTAAGTCCTATGTGGTATGACTTCACACGGACAAGATATTTTTATATAGTTTTAAAGCAGACATAAATTAACACAGCGCCACAATGGATGAAGCCTATGTCAGTGCTGGCAGCATGACATCTGCATATATGTGGACATGTTATCATGACTAGTTTAAAGCATGAGCCAAGATTCCCTTGCCACCCACATAATTACCTCTGATCCTCTAAATAATTTAAGTCCATTAGTACTTCAGTGTTGCTCTCTACATAGGGTTCCACTCATTTTTCTACGTATTTTTAATACCAAGGGACCCTAAATTGCCCTTACCACAAATTCCCAGTGATGAAGACTAAACACTCTCCCTTCTACAAAACCATGTACTGAGCCCTAATATATTAGTCTTATTCAGTTATCCCACCCAAGCAGTTTAACTTACTTTTGCAGAGCATAAAGTTCATAGTAACATCTGCATCAGTACTCATACCTGAATACATAGTGTTACTACCAATACTGGTTCATATGACAGCTTCCATGAAAATAACGCATAGTGACCTTAAAAAAGTGCATCCCCCCCAAGTTCCTATGTTATATATTCAAAAGTGAAGACCACAATTTCTGGTTGCTAATACTTCTATTAGAAGATGAACAGTTCAGCTTTGAGTGCCTGTCTCCGGCTTTCCGTTCATTAGATTAATCAATGAACATCCACTGAATGCCTTCCAGATCCCGCTTGACCGAGGGCCACCAGTAAAGATGCAGACTTCATAGCAAGGTTAAAACTCTCTTGTACGCTTTGAATACTGATGGACAAAAGTTTGTCTTCATCCATTAAACCCTAGCCACCACGATCCAAAAGACCAAGCAGTTCCCATGCACATTCTGTTCCTTCTGTTGCCTTAACCTCAAGTGCAAACTTAACAATAGCAAGGAAATGTGACTCTCTACCGGTATTTATATCTGGCTATCTTTTTAGTACATTGAGTAACCCCCCCATTAAAAAACTTTCTGATTAGACTGGTCACAGGAACAGCTTAAGGAGGACAGCCAAAGACAAGCTCAAAAGACTGCAAGGTTGCTGTCTTTTGAACTTAGCAATGATTCAGCAAATGAATGACGCATAGGCAGCTATGCACCAAGATTGGATGCTTCCTAACATAGCGTAGGAGGACACAATTTAATGGACTGTTTTATAAAACCAGCCTCCCTTGCTATATTTGACAGTGGCAACAAAATTTTGGCAATTTATGATTTTGTCTTAAGATAATGGGTAAGGGCTCTTGGTTCTAAAACAGACTCTTCCTTAATAACAAACATGCTGAAGACAAACAAGTTGCTGATCTGACTAAAATGAAAAAAGTTACTAGCAAATGACTACTTTTAAGGATGAAAGTATGGAACTAAAGTAAGTGAAGTATTGAAATGGAGTCCTGAAATGATGATGCAGTTTTGCTGTGAGATATGATGGTGATTCTTAGAGGGTATTGTAACTATTGAAAGACTTTCACCAATAAAATTTAAGCTTTGCTTTCCAAAATTGTCTTGTGCATCCTGAATATCACTGGTATTAGAAGAATTACATACAGCGCCCTCCACCCCAACCCCCCATGTTGCTATGAGACAATAGTAAATTTGGTGTCATCTTTCAGGGAACTAGAGTTTTGCTATCTTACAGAAGCATTTCAATTCTGGTAGAAAGAGATCCGTGTAAAGAAGGATTACGTACTGACTTTTTGTATTAAAGCCTCACCAACACCATCTATAGCTATCTGGCAAATATAACAATGCAAAGGAGCAGATAAGCTGCAACATTTTCCCCTTTGGGAACCTGCTTTTGTTTTCATGTGGGATGAATTAATTGCAGTATCAGTGCACAAGTGCCTGACAGAATTGGGCCCCATCTGAAATCCAATTTGTCAACAGTCAGGATCTCATATGGGGTTAATGATGTGCGAGACAGATAGCAACACCACACTTCCATAAGCACTTTGATGGAGCACCCCGAGTGACAGCCCGGGCCTTTCTGTTGTCCAGCTGCTCATTCCCGCTCCTCTGGCACACCTACTCTCACATGCTAGCACATATGATCCCACCGATATTCAGTGAGCTGAACTGGTAAATCACCCAGACTGAAATCAGCTTTAAAAAACAACCTGAGTTAATTTTAATCCAGGTCAGCTCCCCAGCCCAGTTAACTGTGTTATGGTGCAGAAATTTGGATGGAATGAGACAGGTCTGAAGGACCCGTATCTTTCTTGGCAACACCCCTGACTTACATCATGATAAAGCAACCAACCACTGGCATAAAAAGTTGCCACAATCAATAAAATACAGCCACGTAACATCTTAGTTGTTAATGCACTATTAAACTAAATGTAAAAATATGGGAATTCATAAAATCAAATTTCAGTCTCAGAAAAACATATTAGGTGTCAAATTAATTACACAGAACTTAAGGAGCCTCTAAAATACTTCAAAATGGTCCTCATATAGTACACCAAACAGCAAAAAAATACTGTTTGTGAGAAATTTTGAAAAAACTTTTAGAATGCTTCACTACCGTAAAACCTCCTTTGTCAGTCTACTACAATCACTGTGAAGGTATACCAACGCTGACATAATGCTAGGATTTTACACATAGTTGAAAGACTCTGGGGCAGGTTTTTTTCCCCTCTTCTCTTTCAGGTGTTTTATCAACATCAGCCGTCTCCAAGAGATCTGTTTTTAAACTGATTAGCTAAAACTTTGCCATTGTAGTTTGAAATTCACCCTCCCCCCCCTTATTAAATAGGAAACATCAAAGACAACAAGATAAATAATCTGCCAAACAGGGATTTGCTACAAAGGAATTCAAGTACTAAAACCACAAAACAAATGGAATTATTTTCCTAGAATCCTTTTTAACAAAGACAGACATCCCATCTAGCTTACTTCATTCTGGAATTCCACGTCACCTCTGTTTTTTCTTCTGAACCATAGAGAACTACAAAAAGTTTATGCTCTCCAAGACTGTGGTAAAAAACCCCATTAATCTGTCATTGTTTTCAAAGGCAAACTCAGACATAGCAGTATCATTATTTTCTTCTTTTGACTTTCAAGCATTTATCATTTCTTTTTTAAACACCCTTATTGTTAGAACTGAAGTTGTCCTTGACTTCTCAGATCACCTAACTTGTTCTTTAGAAGGCACATGTCTTGAGTGGAATTTTGTTCGTTCTACTATCATAACTTAAGGAGGAAATACTACAGTTACTGCAATTCCCCAACGGTCTGAAAAATTCAGGAGCAGTCATAATTTCTCCATGCTCATAAAACAGTTAATCTTAAAATCAATTTATCTTCTGGAATTCAAAGTGAACAGAAAAGCAAAAACAGGATAGTCACGACTTTTAGAAAAAGGCTTATCTAAGGACAAAACCAAGATTACTACTAAAAAAAGTCAGGAGCAAAAGGACCACCTTTCTATTTCGTCCAGATGAGAAGTGACAGACACCTGCCATTTGTAGACCTGATATCTACATCTGTTTTACCAGATCATATAAAAAAAGTGACAAGATAGGAAATTCATGTCATCAAAGAAACCTAAAGAGCTATTAAGAACTACTCAATGACAACCATAAAATGCTCTTTATCTGTGCATTGTGTTTACCTTGCTGTGGTCTTAAGAGCATTACAGCATCTGATTCAAACCACCCAAAACATATCTTAAAAAGAGTAACCCTCTTTCCTATTCCATCTAGTAGGAAAAATTGCATCCATTGCCGCTAACACACCAAAAGAAAAGTCTATACACTACAACAGTAGAAGCTCTCCAAAAGCAATCTGAGGAGTTTTATTATATAATGGTATATTTATGCACAATTTTAGTGGTCCCTTTTCTGCCATGCACACACACATGCTCATTTAATGTTATTATTACTTGCCTGTTGCAGTCCCACTGTCGCTCTGCAGCAGTGCTCCTGTCACTGGTTGTGCGTTATTTGGGTTTGCTCCTGGTGCTGTTGGGGGAGGAGGCCCTGCTCCACCCCCAAGGAGCATACAGGATGGTGGAGGGGGCTGCCCACGTTTCAGTAACACTTTGTGGTCCTGCTGGCAACGGAATCGCGGCGGCACCTCCCGAGGCATGTAGCGGGCGGCGCTTGGCGGTTGTCCGTTCGGCACTGCCACCCTTTTGGCATTGTTGCCACCATTGACTGGTGGCGATGGAGAGTTGCCAATTGGGCTGGCAGCCACTGGTTGGCTTAAACTTGGTTTCGTCACTTCGGGCACTGAAAAACAGGAAGAATGAAAATCAGAAATTTTTCCACTTAAACTTGTGTTAGCTACAAGAACTCACTGCGACTCTTTCCTTTTATAATTTCATTCTTCTCCGAAATATTGTGCAACTTCAACCTTATCGAAGAACAATTTAATTAAAGAAGCAGGAATAAGCAGTAGCGGCAAACCTTTTGCTTCCGTGTGCAACTCTCTACCCTAGGATGAAACTCTGCCCTCAGCAAGTATTTCGCTCTAAGCCCCGAATTTCTTGGAAACGTAAAGTTGGCAAAGAATATCTCCCTGGCAATGAGTCATTTTAAAGTACGAGCAGTCAAATATAACTGATTCCCCCTCCCTCACTCTGTTCCCTGATCTTCAACTGGTTTTTGGATTGTTATGCCTTATGGGAGACCTGAAATCAGATCCCAACTTTTCACCTGCTTAGTAGGCTACATGGCCACCTTCAAAACAAACGAAAATAGGGGGAAAAAAAACCCTTCTCTTGGATTCAGAGTTAACAAATCTGAGCTCTTTGCGCTGCTCTTTAAGGCAGTAATAGTTGACTCTCACCCAAAAGGCAGTCCTACATACAGCATGTATACTGGGCTCACGTAAAGTTTCCCAGGTGGTCACCAGGTACCCCTATAAGCAAGGACAAGCTGCTTCTGAGGGCTATCATGCATTGGAGAAGAGGAAAACTACGAACAAATCCTTGAGGAACTAACACCATCACAAAATTTGCTTAAGAGGCCCTAGACTTGTGACCCCTTACTCACATTCTCCACGTGCTTTTTTGAAACAGAGCAAAAGAAATTCCTAGCTAGGCATCTAGAAGGTCCAATTGCTAAGACATCAGACTCCAAAGGCAACGAAAATTTAATACGTCTACTCTAGCCTTTGTGGAAGATTAATACAAGAAAGGGATGTCCAGAAACCCCTCCCCAGCAAAGTGAACATAATCAGTAAAACTTTTTTCTTACAAATGTCAGCTCAAAACAAGAGAGTCTCTCTTTGGCAACATGAATGCATTATTCCCCACATTTTATTTTGATAAGGTTTTTCAGATCTCTCTGTACAGGCTTCATTGCTCAAAACCCAAAAAAGGATACTGTTAGCTGTAAAATCAAGTTACTATCTTTAGTTCTCTTCTGTCAGTAATAGCCATTTCCCCACACAATTTTTTGAAAACTGACACACAAATCAAGATTAAATATATTTTTAGATCAGCTAAATAAGCTTAACTTTCAAGATGCTCACTCATCTGTCCTGATTTATCTGTTGGACCTTTAGGTGCCTGAACTTCTCTTAAGTTTCCAACAAGTCGTTTTCACTCATTTCAGTACCTCACCATAAGCAGTACTTTCCCTGTCTTTCATTCCATTTATATAGGTGGTTTCAGTTTTTGGTTACTTGTCTAAAACCTTTGCAAAACTGAAAACTAAATATTTCAGCTAACCTATTTTATCTACAATCCTCATTCCCTCTTCAAGTTTTGATCAAGATCTGAGTCTTGGCTCAAGTCAATAAAAAATACTCTTTATGATCAAAGATTCTTACCTTTGGTTTTTTGATCTGTGACCTGCAAATTAAGAGCAAGAATGTAAATAGAGTTTTAAGAACCTCAAAACAAACATTGAACAGGCTGTGCTAAATCACAACCTTAATTTTTTAGCACAAGAACAGTATTTGTCATTGCATGAAAATAATCAGCTGATGAACTACAAGTCTAAACAGTATTCCTAGTCATATATATGAAGTTTTCAAAAATACTACAGCTCCTCTAACACCTTTGCCTGATGCAAAAGTCCCTGACAGAAATAGTAATTACTTCACGCGTGATGATTTTTAGTATTCAGCCACCCTCCTCATCCCAAATATGGACTTCCAAAGCACAAATAAAAATGTGCTATAGCACTACAGTTCTTTCAGATTTTGGAAGTGAAGTATTACAGTTAAAGTGTAACAAAAACTTCCTTCTATGAGAGTATCCTTAGAGCAGACTGTTGGGGCTAGCAAAGGAATTCCCACAGGAGTAACCATGGGTGAGAGTAGCAGTCTCTCTCTCTCTGCCATCTTCCCACTTTACCTTTCCCATGACATCTCTTCCAAGGAGAAGAAATCCTAAACCTTACTGGATTCATTGCTACAATTACAAAAAGTATCAGCAGTACCTATAAAGCACGAAACTTCAAAATCTCTTGAACGCAATAAGAAGTTGATTACTGAAGTGAGATATCACACTGGCCAACGTACTCAATATCTGGTTTTGCTGTATTTCTACATTCTTTCAGCATAGTAGATTTCAAGCTACAGCAGAGACAAACATACTACTGGTATATTCTCTGGAATCACGTGTATTGTAGCATGTTTTGAACGTGTCGATCATGAGTTCCACTACACAATAATGGAAAAACCCTAAAGATCATCATGTGTCAGGTTCTATGACACCTATTCTTAAAAGAAATTGCTGAACTAGTCCATAATTCTGGAAAGCACACAGTGACAGTATAGAATAATGAAAGCACAAGTAAAAAGCAGTTTATTGTTTAAACCAACCAAGCCAGAACTCCTTTGTATGGTAAAGAATAAAAAGACAAACTGCACTGAATTGCTGTGGCATCATTTACTTTGCAAAGATCAACACTGCAATATGTGAAGTGGAACATTCACTAGAATACAAAATCTTAAGCATCGTAACTTCATAGAATTATGTAATCCAAAAGTCTCCGAGATACTAAAAATGCACCTGTACCAAAACTGCATCTGTACCAAGCCAGATATCAATTTTCACTTCACTTAAGAAAAATCCTGCATGCATCAAATTAAGTCATCTTCTGTAACACAGTTAAAAATTCTGTTAAGCACTTAAGTGACTCTGATGTTCCACTACTAAAGGAAAAGGGGGAATAAAATTATTCATTAATCCAATCCGGTAACGCTGATAGGTTTACTATGGTCAAAAGTAAACGAGTAACTTGTCTACTTGGAAGAATCCTGTTTTATCAAATCTTTAAAGAATTCTACATGATAACCACAGTTTGCTTTAGGAAAAAAAAAAAAAAGTACTGCCTGTTCTGCCTATACCGCATCTCTCTCCTAGTCAAAATGATCTGGTTTTGTGATTTTTATTTTTTTTTTGTCTAGAATACAAAAGCTGAGAAAATGTGACACTGTCTCAGATTTACAGCTGTCACCTCTCTGTGTGCAACCTATAAGCATCAGCAGGGCAGGAGCAGCTACAGTGAACGGGAAGGTGGAGTCAAACTCAGCCTTCCGACAAGCTACCAAACAGTCCCTGGGACACCAACCACAGGAATTTAGTCTGTGAATTTGCTTGCATAACCTCTATTGAATTGATTTTTTTTATTTTCTAAGTTTCAGAAGATCCTGACAGAAACAATTGTTTCATATTTCACAAACTCTGTCTGAAAAAGGTACCCCCAAATCATTACTGCTTATTTGGTGAACACCACCACAGTCACCAAGAACGAACACACACGTTTATGTTCTGTCCATTCAGTTGCCCGCTTTCCTATTCCTAGATATCTCCAAGTATTACTGTTAAGTTTGGTCTCTAGGAGATTAACTTATTTAGTGTTTACCCTTCCCAAGATTTTGGCAAAATATCATAACATTCAACCATACTGAATAACTTAGTAGGTGAGGGACCACACAGGAAAGCTGGCAAATCTCCTTTGTATTCAAAGCACCAATTCCTCAATAAACACTCCCAGCACTGTTATCAAGATGATCAGCACAACCTTTTCAAGTTTCTCTTGTATCATTCAATATCAACATGTAATCCTCAAGTCACTAGTCTTTGTTTAACAGGGTCTGCTCCTCCTGGTTCCTACATGTATTTTTTGTACTTGAATGTTAAACAGCAGCAACACTGAGGCAAAAAGACACTGAAGGAACCTTATTCTGTAGCTACTGATCTTTTGCAGTATTATTGGGGATGTATCAACACATAAAGGCAATAGAAATACACCAGTTTATCTGCACCCAATTTAAACCGACAGACTCAAACTGGTGAAAAAGCCAGATTTAAAAAGACCCTGGAAAAGCAAAAATTTAACTGGAATTGGTGCTGGCTGTTCTCAGCAGAAACCTCCAGAATCTAACACAGAGTAACGTCCAATCTTTCGTAGGGTCTGTTGTTAATGAAGCAACTGAAAAACAGAGAAAGAAATTAAAGTCTTCTGCTCTCAATTTCACATAATCATTGAGGATGGGAAGGGACAGCCTCTGGAGATCTAGGCCACAGTTCCCACCCCTGGTCCCCACCTGCCGCCTAGGAGTCTCCCCAACTCAAAGCAAATTCAACAAAAACAGGTTGCACAGGGCCTCGTCCAACTCATTTTTGAGCATCTCCAAAGATGGAGGCACCACAACCTCTCTGGGAAGCCTGTCTGTTCCAGTGGTTGCCCAGTCACACATACACGCAAAAAAAGTCTTTTTAAGTGGATTTTCCTGTATTTCAATTCGTGCACAATGGTTTGTGCCTTGTCACTGGGCACCACTGAGAAGAGCCTGCCTCAATACTCTTTACTCCCTCCGACAAGGTATTTATATCCATTGATTGGTAAAACCCCTTTGCACCTTCTCTTCTCCAGGTTGAACAGTCCTAGCTCTCAGCCTCTCCTCATTTGTCAGATACTCCAGTCCCTTAATCATCTTAGGGCCTTTTGCTGGACCCGCTCCAGAATGGTTGCGTCTGTCTTGTACTGGGAAGCCCAGAACCAGACAAAGGATTTTACCAGTAAAGCCATGGATAAAGCTGCAAGAGACTCAAGTTCATACGACAACCTAATTCCTAGAATAATCTAGTATATTTTCAGCAAAATAGAGAGCTTCTAATACATCAAGTGTTCAAACCCATTTTCTGAGCAAAACCAATTTTTGGTGACTTATCAGTTCTCCACAGCTCAGACTCAAATTGATACACTTCAGCAAAACTGCCATTAGCTACAGAAAATGAAAAACCTAAGCAATACTCAGCAAAAAATAAAGGGAACCTTCGGTAGTAAATATTGCACAAACTTCCTTAAGGATTTAAAAAGAAAAAAAGGCATCTTCTTGCTCTAGAAAATATTTAGTCAATTTTACTGCAAGAATTGCAAAAGCCCAGCAGCATTTCCATCCCCAAACACCAAGACAGCAGGAGTTGCATAGATCAAGAGAGCCCATATTCAATAACTTAAGTTTAATATTTTATATCAAAAAAACTTCTTTTACTTCACATGACACACTAAGGAGAAGAAATGTTTAAGTTAAACATCTAAGTTCGAGAAAGATGATACAAAAAAAGATTCTTCAATGAAGCATCACTCTAAACAATCAAGTTTTTAAGCTCAAATACAAACAATTTAACATCTTGCCACCCCTAATATTATTTATGTTCCAACTGGATAAAAGAATTCAAATATCAAAACCTACCTTCTGAGCAGATTCCTTCTTTTTCTTATCCTCTTTCTTCCTTTTCTTGTCTTCCATTAACTGTTCTTCCCTTTCTTGCTCCTTCTCTCTGCCAAAACATGAAAAGCAACAGTATGAGCACAATCAAGTTGTTTAACAAGAGCCGCAAATACTATATTCCTCTTCCCCCCAAGAAAGGAAGTCGAGATACTAGATTCCTCTTATCATCATACTTCAATTGCATTTGAGGGTTTCAGTCTAACTGAGATAAGAAAAGCACCTTCTGGCTCAGTGTGGCCACAATCACGCCTCTTACTGCACAAAGGAAAATTCCTTTATTTGGATCAGGCCTCTTATGGCAGTATCCTATATAAATTAACTACATGCCTGATATTAGGAAATATCTTCAAGACATTTTGGCCAAAGAACCCTTTTAATTGGGTTGTGCTATTATTTAATGAACAGTCTCATGAATCTTTTCATATGGTAAAAAAAGGGAAGTTGTAATTTAATATAAGATGGTTTGGTCTGATATGACATTTATCTTCACAAGGGGAAGAGATTATTCTATTGCCTGTAGCTATGTCACTTGTAAGAGACTAGAAGTGTCATATCAAATCAAACCCATCATTTATTATACAAATCACTAATTTAATTTCTAGCCTATTGTACCCACCCACAGAATTTTTGTGATGAAATTTGTAACATAAATTACTTTCCAGGGAATCTATTTTTTCCACGAGAACATTCTTTCAAAAAAGGAAGAAAAATATGTGCAGCTGCTATTGTTGTCAAGCTATCATCTTGTTGCTACGTTTCGTATCAAATATGAAAGTACCAGAAAATGGTTAATTTACTGCATATATGCTATTGGCTGAGCTGTTTCTATGGTGAATCACATTTTTGTTAACCAATTCTCCTCACCTCCTTAAAAGTAAATTTAAGACCAAGTTTTCAGCTCACTTGGAGTAATTTCTAAAGACTAAGATGAAGATAATTAACGTAAAAAGATGATCTGACAGATGAGGGGTAGGATCAGAGACCAGAGATGTGTACTTTACAAATGGGAAACAACTAACAAGTATAACCCATGTGGGAAACAACTAACAAGTATAACCCGTGATCTTTCAGAAAAAGATTTTATAAAAAACAGAACAGCTTTATAAACAAAACTGGAGTCTATAAGAGTACTGAACTATTTCTTATATTTATGCACAAATCAAAGCTCTTCTTTAACCGCAGTTTAAAAAGGTTAGAGTTGAGCTGGCTTTGCTGTCACATCACTCAGACTTTCCCTTCCATTGCATTTATATGGTATAGGTAATATTTTTGTTTGCATTTTCACTAGATACTGCCAAGCCAGCGTACAAAGAGACATTTACATAACTAATCAATTCCTACAAAAATATTTTGAGATGTTACATGTTAACGGCTTCCTGATTGAGGACTTCAAAGAACTCTCTTAAAGAGAAAAGGTTCTATGGACAGTAATAAAATGTCTTCCTGGTTTCCTAAAGTTAGGCTCTCCTCCATGGATGGAGAAAATGGATAAGGGCAAGATGAGTCCTTCGTAACAACATCCTTAAGTTATTACCAAATTACCAAATTCATACATAATGGCAAGTTCAGTCTGCATTTAACAAAGTTTGAGGCAAGTATTCCACATCATACAGAACAGTGTTTTATGCACTCTGTCTGGTATTGCTTAAGCCAGGTCAGTTCTTGCTCTTTTCTGTTCTCTACGAAATGTCAAAGCACACTTCCCAGCCCTAAACTCTGGCAAGGAAAAGCCCCACAGGTTTTTCAGTTTTACTAACAGCACAAGACATGAAGCATTGGGGAGGTTCGTATACTTCACATTGTCTGTCATAGCATCGAGACAAAATTTTCTGTTTTCTTTGAGCCACAGATTGTAAGCAATATGAAAAAGCTCTCCAGTGACACCCTCATCTTTCAAAGTTACTATAACCTCAAATTATGTTTCCTACTTTTGTACTGTTCAAGCTATGTGTGCTTTTTGGGCTGTAGCGCCAGTTACAAGTATACTATTTCCAAAAAAACTTTCTTGCAGCAGGCAAGTTTAAGAGCTGTCTTAAAAGAGCTGCTGAAAAAGGGTAGAGTCAAAATACAAAATGACTTCCAGTAACTGCCTGGCACACAGACAGCCTTCTACTTCAAAGCACCTTCCTTAGTTTTGTGAGCAGAAGAGCAGGGAATAGAAAAGAATGAGAAAAAGGTCATATTCACAATCAAAGCTGAAGCTATGGCTTACAACAACATGTAGCACTAATAATAAAAGAACCCAAGGACAGAAGATCCATAGCCTGAAAGTAAACACTTAGTTATGGTCATCTATCTGTCTTTGTGGTAAATTCAGGACACAGAGATTGCTACTGCTGCTGCCTTGTTTTCAGACATATACAGACAAATATCTGTGGTAGTAAGGCTCCAGAGAAGCCCTTTGTCTTTCATGGCGACCTCCCCTTCTTCTGCTCTTTTAGTAGAGATGTGCATTTAATATTCTATTGGGCACATCACCAACAACTACAATATAGCAATAATCAATACTTAGTAACTTAGGCTTCAATTCATGTAAGCACCCACCTAAGTTCTGAGGTACAAGGGATCTATCTGAACACTTCGGCTGCATCACATGTAGAAGACTATGAAGTTTCTGACAAAATGTAACTAAAACCTCATAAACACGTAGGAAGTATGAAGTTATACTCGCCAAACGACAGAGCAAGAACTGATGCTATAGACACGCTAACAACATACCACTGTGTTGAAAGTTCACTGAATTAGGGGGGGAAATAGCTTATTGCCATTTGGGGCATCACACTTGCCATCTTCCCACTTTCACTCTTTGATGCATTTCACTAATATTTGAAGTTTTATGATCAATGGTTTTCCCTTTTCAGTTGTATGCAAGAAGCTTGTTAAAGACAAACCTAACTTGCAGTGTTAAGTGTTCCGATAAATTTAACATAAACAAAGCTCTCAAGTACCTCATTGATTCATTCAGAAGACAACGGTGCCTATTAACCTGCTCTCATTAGCTAAAAGATAATTTTTCCTGGCCAGGTCAAGGAAACTGGAGGGTCCATCATGTACATTCCAGCAACTGGCTGCTTACATTGACAAGATCAACACGGGGAGAAAATCCATCAACTCCAAATGAGTGAATTTAGAGTAATACAATGGGGTGTGGTTCCGTTTTTTGTTACCAGGACATAGTAGTGGGAACACGGACACACCACAACCCTGAAGAGGAAGTTTGCTAAATAGCAATCAGCAGTCAGCTTTTAACTCTAGCTTTCTTCAAGAAAGCATGTGTCGATCTTAAAATTATGACCTAATTGCATTTTAATATTTCCCACAAAATCTTAGAATCAACAGTATTGAAAAGTATTTAAAAAGCACATTACAGACTTTAATTCAAAGTATTTAAAGTAAGGCATATGAACAGCTTACAAATGACGAGAAACTATAGGTTGTAATCCAAAATTTTATTTATAAAAAACTAAACCAAACAAACCTAGTAGCTATGGTGCAGTACACTCCATACCTTATCTAAGTTCTTATAACAACCTCTTCTGGCTAAGACAAAAGCAATCATTTCAGAGAAAAGAAGGTTTTTCAGCTAGTTAACTAGAGAAGTAACAGAAAGTACTTGTGTAGTCCAAGTTATTAAAGCAGATAGCCATTTCAGGAAAAAAAGAAAAAATAGGTATCCAAGAAGTGTGCCCTTCCCCGAGACAATTTACCAGTTTTGGAAAGTATTAGTTTTCTGCAAAATCCTAATATTCATTTTTCCAGAAAACTCTATTTTAAAAAGACTTATTCTCGCAACGCATGGGCTTGAGGCATGGGTAGAGGACAGAAATTGTCTTCAAAGTTCTTGCTATCACAAACTGAACTGTGAGACAAGATGACGTACTATACATTACATACTATCTGCTGGCAACACACTTTGATAGGTGGAGATAAAGTGCCACACAGAGTAGTAGTCTACCAAAAAACCCAGAACTCTATGAAGTCACCCTCAAACTAAAACTGCACAAAAAGATATACGTAAAATGTAAGAAATGAAAATTCCTAGAAACTCAGGAGTGGCACTTAAGTGTATGCAACTCCCAGTTCCTTCCACAGGGCTACAGGACAACAGTGTAACAGTGTTTGGAAGTTCCTCATACGTAAAGATGCAGACTAGCTACCAGTACTGTGAGTCATCTTCCCTCCTCTTGACCCCACACTTCACTTTCAGTACAGTTATCTTGGTTTAGCTATACTATAATAGAACACAGGACTGACAGGAAATTTCTATAGGTGCATCCTGTTCTCTGCATTGTAATAAGCATAGGATGATTCACAAATCTGCTTCCAAATTGTGAGCCAACTTCTGTACCTTCTTCCAGAATACAGGGGATTCCAAAGCTACACTTGTAGCATCAGCAGCACTTCAACAGAACAAGCTTTTATCTATATAGCTATGAGGTCACACTAACAACTTAAAATTTTCCCTAAAGGCTTTAGCCATAACTAGCCAGAGATAAAGGCCATCACCTTAGGTGAGATAATGATTTGCATGCGTAGACCAGTCTCACTTAGAGGCAACACTTGAGCTAATAACCAACTCTTTCTTACAGACGGGCCTCTAGTGATCCAAAATATCAGACCACAAATACATTTCTAATTGCTTAGAAATAGATGACAAGACTCAAAACTTGAGGGACTAAACCAGAAATTTAATCTACACTAAGGTATACAACTTTGGTCAAGATTTGAAGCAAGAAGAATTTCCAGTGAACTCTAACTACAAGCATCCAGCTTCTCAGCATTTCTGAAAGTTTCCTCAGTATTTTGATAAATTATACAGCCTAGATAGCAGCAGAATTAGGCACCACACACTGGTGTCTTAGATGCATTGCAAAACACCTTTATAACAAGCTCAAGGCCAGGTACGCTTCCAAGGCAAAAGCTCATCTCAGTCTACACAGGGACAAAAATCTCTTAGAGAAAAGTAAGCAGTCTTCAACAGTGCTATTTCATGAACAGCTTGCTGCTGCCACTGGAGAAGTAGGTTTCCTTTTCTTCCACTTTATTTCT